TCCCCACTGTTTGCTGCATGATCCAGTCGACCACAATCAGGAATATCTTGGGGGGGGGTAGTGGGCAACCTTGTTTCACTTCTGTCTTCACTTCAAAAGCATCACTGAGCTTCCCATTGTGAATTACTTGGCATGTGGCGTCTTCATACAGTTGTTGAAAGAGGCTGATAAAGGTTTGCGGTACTCCGTAGCAATGAGGCAGTTTCCAAATTACCTCTCGGTCGACGCTGTCAGAGGCCTTCTCAAAGTCGATAAAGTTGAGGTGTATAGTGAAGTGCCATTCTATACTCTGTTCTTTGATGATGCGAAGTGTTGCAATTTCGTCGGCACATGATTTGTACTTCCTGAAGCCAGCCAGCCTGCCTGTTCCGGTGGTAGTTTTGAACCCAGCTCATCCTTTAGCCTCTCTAGGATGATGCGGCTTAATATTTTGCTTGCTTTGGGTGGACAGGAGAGTGATTCCGCGCCAGTTCCTGCAAACACTGAGATCTCCCTTCTTCGGCAATTTGACAAGGTAACCCTTCCTGCAATCGCCAGGTACCTTCCCTTCTTTCCAGACATTCTGCAGTGGTGGTGTGGTGTGAGCATATCCGCTGTTGTCTCTGAGTCTGTTTTCAGTGCTTCTGACGGGATTCCACCTGGTGCTGCTGCTTTCCCACATTTCAGTAGCTTTATGGCGTTCATGACTTCCATTTTTGTTGGAGGATTTATGTTCACTCGTAGTTCAGCGGCTGCAGGCGGTATTTCTGGACGAAGTGCAGGTGGTGGTGGTGGTCGATTCAAGAGCTTCTTGAAGTGGTCGGCCAGCCCATCGTTTTCTTTGTTTCTCTTCTTTCGTAATTAAATTTCCGTCATCATCTTTTATTGGTTTCGCCTGCGTTGATCTCCTCCCAGATAGCAACCTGGTTATTTGATACAATGTCGCCAGGTCTCTGTCTCTCCTACCTGCAGCCTGTTCCGCTTGACTTGCCAATGTGTCGTAGAAGTGTCTTCTGTCTTTTCACCTTCTCCTGTTCACTTCTTTGTCCAGTGTTTTATACATTGTGCTCAGTTCCTCTTGTCGTTGAGCATCCTTGCACTGGTTTATCTCCTCCTTCACTATCCCCCTCTCCTCTATCAGCTTCCATGTATCCATCAAGATCCATTCCTTATCTTCTTTCTTCTTCCTTCCTAATACGGTTATCCAGGTTTCTTTCCACATAGCTCTCAAAGCGTTCCAGTGCTCTTCCACACAAGTTTCTTCAGGGATGTTCCTCGATATCTCCCATTTTGTCTTGATGGCTGCCGTGAAGATGTCTTTTGTAGTTCCATCCTCCAGCTTCCGAGTGTTGTACTTGAACTGCGGTCTATCACCAGCCTCCTTGAAGGCTTTAACTTGATTTGGAAGGTTCCTTGCACTAGACAGTGATTGGTCTGAGCCTACATCTGGTCCTCTTGTTAACCTTGTGTCAAGTAGACTGAGTCTCCACGTTATTCACATTGAGATAAAGTCGATCTGAATTTCAGTGTGTCCTGGTGTCTGGTGAAATCCGTGTTGCTCGCTTTGTGGATATCCTTGTGTTTGAACACACTGCCTGACTGCAATCACCGAATCGTTGAATGCACGGAAGTCTCCAAACAATTCTCTACTCTCGTTCATCACCTCACCGAGCGCTTCTCGACCCATGATGGATGAGTTCCCTTCCTGTGTTGTTCCCTCCTAGTTTGGCATGCATGTCACGAATTAGAATTTTGATATCGCTGACTGACGCCTTGTCCATTGTTGATTGAAGTTGTCTGTAGAACTCCCCCTTTTTCTCTTCATTTGGATTATTTGTAGGTGCATAGCATTGTATGATTGTGACCTTCCTTCCTTTTGAGTTGAACCTCGCTGTCATGATCGTGGAGGAGATTGGTTCCCACCGCATGAGAGCTTCCGATGCTGTTGGGGACATCATGGTAGCCACTCCATAACTCAGTGTGCTTGTTGTTGTCGTCTGGGTGACAATATCGGAGTAGATTATTGATTCTCCAGTTGACAGTTTGGTGAGTCCACTCCCATTCCATCCGTTTTCGCAAATTCCAAGCACTTCAATGTGATACCCTCTCATCTCGTTTGCAACCCAGGCTGCCTTGCCGGGTTCAAACATCGTGCGGACATTCCGTGTCCCTATGGTTACTTTCGCTTTCATCGAGAAAAGGAAGGACACATCGGCCAATTGGCTTCCCGAAGGTTCTCACCAACTGGCGTCATTTCGCCTCTCCGATTCCAGCGAGGAATAATTTTGTTATTATTTTTTGTATATCGTTTGTGCTTTGAAGTTTCTTTAGCGGTTAGATTTTTTTTACGGTGTAGGGTTGCTGGCCCTATGCCCAACCTTCCCTCTTTACCCGGGCTCAGGACCGGCTAGTAACTAGTGAACTAGTTAACCAGGCGAGGTCGCAGGCATGCCATGCTATCACAATTAAACATCAAAGCGAAACAATGTTAAGTTTAACCTTCTGTGACTCGGCATGCGCAAGTAAAGTTGAATCCGCGCAGAAACCAATCAAAAAGGCTATCTTTATGCCCGCTAGTTGACTAGGAAAACTCCGAAAATGTGTTGAATCATTTTGTAACTGGGTCATGTTTGATTTTCATCCTGTCCAAGATCTCCAGTGGTGCTTGAAAATCATTCTCCCCATACAAAATCAAGCCAGCTTGTTGTCATGATTTACGAATAGTAGAATGATCGTGATATAAGTCCAGTGTAGACAGAAGAAAAAATCTTTTAGTTTTGGTTTCTGTGCCTCCTCTACAGTGTGCTCTTCAAGTGCCTCACCATAAACAGTTTCTCAGTTTCTAAGGAAGGCAGGCCAGGCCACGACATCTTACGACTACAGTATTAGCTTTAAAGTCGTGTTGGTAGCTCACGAAGCATTCACACGCAATCTCTTTCACTGGTGGATGCAGTCCTGTTGCGACAGCAAAGTTGCTCGACAGCACTATAAGCTCAGGAAGCGATAACCGTGCAAATCGTTCTGTTTCACCCGTCCAGAATACAGAAAGCTTCTTGTACTCCATATGAATAGTCTTATAGGGCGAGCCACTCTCCACGATCCAAAAGCCATGAATCTCTTTGATAAAAGTAGGGTCAGCATTCAAAGATGACACGAAGCCAGGTCTGTAACTACGGGCGCACTACCGCACTGACAGATCCGCAGCGTCATCGTATTAACATGTCTGAACAGGGGTTTTGGCCTCCTACAGAATGTTCATGGCTAGCAACGAGGATGGACTGAAGGACCTCAGGCTTTACTGTATTAGCCACCATGAGTTTCTTCGAGACTTGGTAGCGGCTTGTAAAACACTAGGTAATCCAGGTCGCTTGAACAGTGGAATCCTACTGAACGTCCACTGTAGCAATCCTCTTGGTAACTCAAGGAGAATTGCCCATCAAAGGACAAAATCTCGCAAGATTCCACACTTCTCCCCTCTGCTAGTTTTTGACTAGTGTAACGCGTTCTCCGACAAGTTTCTAGTACTCCGTCTGCCAAAAGCTACAAGCAGAGTCTGGGAGGCTACACAGCGACGCATGACTTGCCCTTATCTGGCTGGAACACGGAGTGGGTCGAAACAGTCAACGAACCCCAGACAATCCGCCAAAGTTAACCCTATACCGAGTTGTTTATACTGCCATCATCTTCCCGAACCTGAATTAACCTGATACGTCCATGTTAGGTGTAACACTACTAATTCAATTCCCACAATCCGTCCCCTAATGTCACTTACTCCTTCCCTTCCCTCCTCCCCCCGACTTTATGACCTCACCCTTTTTACCAATGCTCTCCTTACCACTGCTATCTCCCATGAATCTACCTAGGTTTTCCCTTCTCTCCTGTTCCGTATCTTCCCGCCTTACTTTTTCTCACTTCCTTCCCATGTTTTCACTGGACACCCCTCCTATCTTTACCAGCAGTCCGAACAACTTTTTTGCGACATCATACTTAAGGAACCCATCTGCACCGTGATTCTTGGACAAATAATGGAATCCCTACAAATTTAATCAATGCCCGACCGCCCATTGGGGCTGTGAGAACTGAAGCAGGCGTGTGGGTAAGTCTACCGAATCTAAATTCAACAATGACGCGGAACTTTTATGAAAGATACAGAAGTGAGCGCGAGTGAACCAGTAGGTTCACACCAACTTGTAAGAAGATATTGGTTATTGGATCCCGAAAACGGGATGAACTAGCCAGCTACGTTTAGCAGATTTGTAGGGGGAGCGTGTTACAATTCCGCAACGTTTGACCAGCCCTACTTAACTTGATGTGCTCTGGTACCTGCTTAACCAGTACCTTACCTAACGTGTAAGTACTGATAACAAAACACAAATCAAAAGGACTGGTTCGGGAATACATTTGAAGAAGTAATGTGTTTAATTAGAGTATATGTATGGTAATGAATGGGGGAAAAGCTTATTCAACTTATCTGGCTGGTATGGCTGAGCTAGGGACTCTAATAACGTGCTTGCTAACCAGCACTAAGGAAGCGCAAAATAGCGTCCAAGGCTGCTCAGATGCATGCTCGTTAAAACAAAACTTAAAACACCTAAAGCATCCGGAGGCGAGCTAGGGGTTTGTTTAGTTAGTTTAATCCATTTATTTTAGCCCTAGTTGTATTTTGGTGCCAGGAAGGTGCACTACAGGTTGATCTAGAAAATTGATGTCAGCCCATAATGAATGCACCGTCGAGGCTGGTCACTCCCTGCAAACTACTACTGAACAACTATTTTTCCTCACTAATGATATTCTTGAGGATGAATTTCGTGAAGTTCCAATAAAATTAATTGACCTCTGGGTCTAACTAAGTCGGATGAGATGAAGAATAATAAACTACAGCTCTGAGCATTATTCACCCTATATCGGTTGTTGACAATTATAGGAAATAATGGATAGCTGATCTATAACCCAGTGAATAAATGGAAACATGCTCAACATGAAACTTGATGGTTGTGGGCTTGGTCCTTCGCGTGGTCATTAGTGCTCACTACGGAGGAGCTTCAAAACATACGTGCTGTGCTACCAAGTTTGCAGTGGTTCTTCCTTCGATGTCATTATGTGATGGAAACTACTTCAGAGTCAGTATATCTCCATGAACCAACAGCTAAGTATATTGAGCATTGCTGCTGCACGTTGGTATATTTGTTTGTACGGCTGCTACTAAGCGCAACAAATCAAGCAATACAAACATGAGCGAAGGATTTTATGACATTGCCAGATGTGCTGTACTGTTGGTTGATGAAGATAGGTTTGTCAGAAAGAAGGCTATCAAGTCTGTAGAAAACTACTTGAGGACTAAGACAGGCCAGGATGACGGTGTACTAAATACAGTAATTATGACCTTGTCAAGCGCGTTAAACGATCCTGTTGAGGTTAATCGCGAACTTGCAGTCAAAGTCTTTGAGATGTATTTAGATGTAACTAGAGACGTATCAGCCCTCCTTCCATCATTAGTTCCTGTGCTTGTGATGCGTCTAGGACAGAAAGATATAACAGAACATTCTGAAGAAGTCCGGTTTTCTACGATGAACCTACTATATACTTTGGTAACTAGAGGTGATGAAGCGTCTGCATTCCTGGATGACTATATATCAATTCTTCAGAAAACGTTTGTAGATCCATATCATGAGGTCAAAAAGCTTTCTTGTAAGATAGCTGTTGTTTTGTCTGAAAGGAAGTGTCATCGGTTCTATCAGATATCGGAATCCATTTTATCACCAATGCTATCCAACCTGACACACCAACACTCAAAAGTTAGGCTAGAAACTGTAAGAGCACTTGAAAAAGTCCTGTTATACGGCCAAGGGAAGTTTGTAGAGAATATCATACCACCACTGACGCAGCGACTATTTGACTCATCATCGGCAGTAAGACAAGCTGTCATACAACTAGTAGGCTCGTGGTTGTTGGATTTACCGGACAGGTACTCTTATCACACGAAGTTACTGCCACTACTTCTGTCTGGTTTGACTGATGAGTCGGATGAAATTCGTGAAGTCGCTGTTAATTTGTGGCATCATATAGGTAAGTTTGTAAGCTTGATTAAACTTTGTAAGCTTTTAGGACTTAAGTTTGAGAAGGAAAACGAAGAACATCTAAAAGATAAAATGGACTTCGACAAAGGTGCTCCTTTTTCCTATCCATATGAATGCAGACGACCGGTACTGGGTAAGTTAAAATTACTGGTAGGAAATGGTAAACCGTTACTTGTATTATCCCATCGTTGACTGGATCATCATTGACCATAAAATATGTTTAGTTAATATGACATTTTTTAATTGTCAGTCTTGAAGTTAGTACCATTTTCTTATGCATATTAGTAGCTCCTGAAACCTGTTATCCGACGACTGGAAGTAGTTTTGATTTAACTAGGGTTTCAATCCTTTGCAGCCCTTATTCTACTTGATCAACTCACACTGTCTATTCTTATTGACGTTGATTCAAGGGGGAGACTATATTTTCTGTTATATTTTCAGGGAACGTAACAAAACATTTATATCATATCAAGTCTGATTATCTCACTGGTCCCAATGTTCCTGATATAAGATCACATGTGAATAATATTTGTAGTATGTCTCATTATCGGTTATCATGGGACTGCAATTTCTTACGAGTGGGTGGACCAAGCACTCACAACAAGTAGTGGAGTCGTGGCTCATCCGACTTCGACGCAATAGCTTTCGTATACAAAACCCACTTGGCCTACTTCTGCCAGGATAACCCGGTAGTCTCATAAGCCCACACATAGTAGGTGTGATTCATAACCTGTTACAAATACATGCACAAAAATTATGTCAAGAAATCAACTGTGTAAGGACTGTACATCATTGGTAAAGTTCTCACCATAGACTGTTCAGATGTTATCCAGTGTTCAATGATGAAACGTCTGGTGAAAGGCAGTAACACTACCGATCTCCAGTGCTTTTTCTTTCTATTTTCCCTTTTAATCTATTACTATTCATGTCTTTTGCATAGGCTTTTGGCGAACCTGTTTCTCCAATCTTTATGATATAAGTGAAACATGGATTATTTATCTTTCTTAAAACTTCCCTAATGGTCACCCGCTTACACGGTAGACCATACTTTATGAATTATCAATCATGACTTCAGCTTTCAGGCCAAGTCGGGTTTCAGAGTTTTAAGGTTTGCAATCGATGTATATTAGAGCAATTGTCGCTTATCTGAATATCCTCTTAATTTCTGTAGTACGTAGTACACGTGAGTTTGGATTCTGACAAACAGAGGCGGTTTGATGTGCAGTGACTAGATGTCCCACAGCAGTTGACCGGAATAATGAAAATGTTACACTAAATATTGGGGTCAGGTGTTATCCCATTGTTATTGACTCTCATTGCGTCAATATTGATACAATATTTTCAAACTTCTATATTCCGACTTTCGATATTTTACGGTTTTGAAGTAAAGTTTAAACCCTGGTCTTATACAGACAGCATGAGACCGGGCATTACTGTGTAACAGTTCCATAACTCAAAAGTAAGATGTTTATACCAGTGAGCCAAATCTTGCAGTCGTTAGTGTTGACATAAAATGCTTTCCGTGATTGACTGATCAATACGAAGCGTCAACACAACACACGGTTACGGACTAAAACTGTTTTCTAAATGATTAGCGAATACTAGAGGGGCCAGGATAATATCTATCTACTATCTATTTTTGTTTGAACTAAGACTCAGACACATCATGTGGTTTATAATCAGTTCTGAAACGTGATTATTTTTAACTTTAAAGTGTTTCGAGAATTTTCATTAACAAACAAGCAACCAGGAAGTATACTGCTGCTATTTGGTCAAATAACGTGAGATTAAAAAACGTCAGTCGTCAGATTTATCTAATTAAATTGGAACTCAGTCTAAAACGGACAAGATCAGTATTCACTATCTAGGTCATTCACTTGCTCTTCAGAGTTCGCCAGTGATCAACACAGGCGATTTGTAAATACCCATTTATCCTACTAGTATATTTTTAAACAATATGTGGGATATTTTCTATACCGTACTTCAATATAGCTTCCATTGTACATGTAATTGATTGTCTCTTGCCTCACTTTAGTGATTCTAGATCACTGTATCACGGAACTTTTTGTACATCACCAAAATGTTTCTTGAATATTTATTTTTATTTAAAGAAATTACGTTACGTTAGAAGCATGTTGGAAAATTCCTAATAACTAAATGCTATTTAGCTTTTTTATTATGCTGTTAAGTGATTACTAAAAGAATACCAAACGTTTCTTCATAGGTTGTCGAGAACTGATTTACAGATCAGCATCTAGGCTATTTCCAGCTCTGTGTAAAGATCTTTCTGATTGGCAAGAGGCAACTCGTTTGAAGGCAGCCAGTTTGGTACCTATTTTAATTCTACACCTTGAAGAATCTGCTACTCAACACACTCAACATCTCTTAACTGGAATAGGAAATGGCTTAGCTGATGCACTTAGTCGAATGCCACCTGCTGGAAATATATCTCTAATAAATACGATGCCTTTCATTTCATTCCGGAGTGCACTGAATTCAGCAGACAATATCGACAACACTCGTAACTTGGATATCGTCGGTTTAATCTGTAAACATGCCAATTCGCATATATTTGGTCCAGCTGAGGTCAATGAAGCAGCTAAAGTTATCAACCAATTATTTGTCTCAACGCAAATTTTGGGCTGTATGATTTCAACCAAGGTAAGGTTTTCTTTACAATAGAACTTTTAAAACCTCCAAACCATCTTATACTGTATCACTGTGTGCTATATCAAATAAACAACCTAATATAGAACCTTAGTATGCCAACAGTGTTGCAAAAAGCGAACACAATTTTATACTATAGATGACTGTCAGTACGATAATGTCAATCACAAAGTACTTCATTGGTACGCAACATCTGTCGAGAAATAAAAAGAATAGTCTTTCTGTCGTGTGCTTTTAAGCATCGGTTACTGTGAGTCAATGTTCGTTTATCTGACTGGCTAGTTTATTGACCTGTAACACCAACTCATACATCGCTTTTTCTGAAAGGCTTAATTAAGCTTGATCAACTTTGAATATTCCGATTGATTGAAAGTCGATCAAGCTTAATTAAAGCTTTCGGATCTATGACGTATTGGTTTAGATAGACGACTTTCAATCAGTGGGTCACGGCTTAGATCACCACTCCACCTACCGGGGTCGGGGCAGCCAGGTACTATCATTAGTCCTCGTATAGTAGGTGTGGCTCTCTGCAAAGACATGCACAAGGTTGCTGAGTGCTTCTTTTGCTTTTCTTTCCACAGCTGAGGTTTTATCTAAGCATCCTCACGAAATCAATCGTGATACTAAAGTGTATTAAATGTTGGTACAATATCCATACTAATCATCAAACTTCGTTGGTCAGGTCAGGTTTATTCAAACACTACTTTGTTGTCTCAGCTGAGTACATGAACAGTTATCAGTAGAAAAGATGACTCATATAGACCAGAAGTTCTGAACCAATGTCGAAGTATCTATATCCTTTTTCGGTTAGTAAAACCTGTTGATTAGTATAGTAGTATGAATTCCTCAGCCATGTATTTCAAAAGTTTGTCATTTTATTGTTAGCCCTATCAAACTTGCTGTTTCAGTGGTAATCTTTTTGATATTGTTATCACCTGGTAGAGGAGTTGAAACCTTAAGAAACGTTAGAATGCGTGACTTGCAATTTCACTTTTTTTGTCATGAGCAGTCTATTCAATTCAAGGTGTTAGATTCCACTCACCTGGACGATCCGGCTCCGCATGTGGGATCATTATAGAAACAACTGATTGGCCTATTTTAAGAAGATTGGAAAGTTGTATGGTATTCAAACTATTTCCATGTGGCTCACTAGACCCTTTCATTAATTTAGTATTTGACTACTAGCTTCGTTCAGTAACTTCAAATAGGGAAGCCTTGGCTGACCAATGGATTAAGAATGCATTCACAGATCAAAGCTGCTAACAGTCTAACAGCATGGGCTATAATCGAAATGGCAATAAACTTAGTGATACTATTTGACTGCCCGAACCTCAGTAGGTGGGGCTCCACTCGAACCAGTGACCCATTGGTTGATTTTCATCTCCCTAAACCAATAAGCCACAACCATCTTGCTGATGACTGTTTCTCTTTATATAAATCTTTAAGGGGTTCGTAGTGTTGTACGAGTGTTCGGTTTAGGTTTTGAGGTATATTATAAAACTTTTGTAACTACCTTTCAATATGCGACATGTCTTTTTACTGGATAGGTCTTCGTTGTTTGCATGGTTTCCAACAAAGTAACAGAACTTTACAATCAAAGTAATAAATAAAACTTTGGTTGGAATGTAAACTGGATGTTGCATTATAGAATGGTATATTTTATGCTGTACTACATTGATCTGGCATTGAAATTGGAGGTCTTACGACAACCGAGTTCTGTGGAGTTAATTTACTCAAAATATGGTTAAGATAAATCAAAGAAAGGTGGAAGAAGTGTGAAGGGTGTTCGAACTCTTTTTTGGGTCAAATCACAAAATATTTTCCATGCCACTGACAAGTGATAAGTTTATCATCTTTAAATATCTGTGACATGTTAAGGTATTTTTTAGAACTATCTAACAATAATATGCGGTATTGTTCTCGGACTTATCATTGCACCTGGTCAATCTGGTGTTCGGGAAGAACGATGTAGGTAAAAAAGACTAATTTAGCAAGTATGTTGCTTTTTGTACAATTGATTGATGTTGTGGTTACTTGGCAAACCGTATTCTAGTCACCACTCTCATGCCAAGTAAGCTGTATCTTAAGTCTTGAAAATAGTCACCTAACTCAGTGGATACGTACAATTGTGTGTACTAGGTTGTTAGTCGCACATTTTAAGGTTGGTGTTAATGCTGAGTCAATAAAGCATTGGTGTTTATCTACTGTATGAATCAGAACTGCTGATATAGTTGTGGTATATAGTCATTCCTACATTTATTGATCACCATCTGTTGCGGTATTAGTAGATATTTGAACAGAAGGGGTACTCAGATATTATAATATTCAGATAATCATTTTATTCTGACTAGAATATCTGCAGCAAATATACTTCACCTCTAGAAATATCAAATAAGCATCACTGATTCGAATCTGTAATTATTAACAAAAGATAAAGATTTGTTATAGTCACATCAAACCGTCAATTTCAAAAAAGAACAAACTATGGAGGTCCAGTGTTTTTGTAATTGAGTTGTACAACAGTTAGGTTTCATACGATGTAACATTTATTAGCAAGGTGCCTGTCGATATTCTAGAAGATCTTTCATTCATGTAAAAATTTAACAGACTATCCGATTGTATAATTCGAAATAGTAGCAATATACACAGTGATTCAGCAGAGTAATCCTGCCATCCCCAGTACCCAAGCACACATACCAAACCCTGTTTCTCAGTCTGTTTTTAAAATTATTATCTAACCTATTTATTGTTAAAAGAGTATGTTGATTAAATTGAATAGTATGCTTTGCAGTAGGGGCTTTTTGGCATTTCTATTGCCTTGATTTGTGGTGCTTGTCTGACAGAAGTCATCATTTTCAAAAGAAATACTTCAAAGGATCTTTTTTCATACTAAGAATTAGTCAGATATTGTACTCGAGACATTTAAGTCATGGGTGATAAAATATGCCTGCAATCTAGTAAATAGTTTTTCACTTTGGAATTCATCTGCGTTAACTACTGGTGCATACCCAAGATATGATATCTGTTGGACGACTATGTTTGTCGTTTCGAGATCACTGTATCACGGAACTTTTGGTACATCACCAAAATGTTTCTTGCCTATTTCTACTCAAGATATTCAACTACCTGTCAAATGACGAATAAACTGAGTTTCAGTCCGTTCTATCCTATTGTACGGCTGTAAGATATAGCCGTTAAAAGTAGAAGTAATGAATCGATGGATGTCTTCGTGGGAATACTCGTGTTCGGTGAAATCACCGTGTGAGAAATGTTGAGGTCAGGCACAGTGTACTAGCCAAGCCAGGGAAGTCGGTTAGTGAAATTATGGATTTTAGTCAACTCAGATGACTTGGACATGTACTACGCATGTCGACCCACTGCATACTTCAACGTGCCACACTGGAGGAAGTTGGATTAGGTTGTAAGAGGGTTCAGGGTGGCCAGACCAAGACGCAGCACCAGTTGTTCAAGTCTCTTACTATTGGCTTCAGTTGTGTTGGGTGATGCAGACTGCTTGGTTGGGGTCCCCGAGACAAAAGGAATCAGTGGTTGGCATGGCTGGAAATCGGTCACAGTGATCCAGATGTGTTCACTTCTTGACACAGCCAGGATGTTCGCATCAGCCGTTATCTTCAGATTGTTTATACTCTCACACAACTTTATCTACTTTGATATCACTTTCTCTACTCATCTGTTCTTTGTGTACTACTGTTGAGTATGAAAAATGTAAGCCAGTGCACCTGTGTGCGAGGTTCTATGTTGATTTTGTCAGTCAGTTACAAAATTTATCAGAGTAAGGTCTATGTCATGAATTTATAATTTTATGAAATTGACTGATTTCTATTCTCTTCTCAACATGAACTAGTGTTACCTTGAACACTTTTGAAAGCAAAAGTACTACACAGCTATACTGTTTTTATATAGTAATGATTTAATTCAGGATGCGCATTTCGTCCTATTTGGGACTCGTCGGTCGTATGTACCTGCCTCCCAGTGAGTGATGTTTTCACTATCCATTGTTACTATGTAGAATTAAAACAGACAGTATCGAGGCATCCGCGCAGGAGCCAATATGCCAATAGAAACCGATCAATTCGAACCAATCAACGATGATATAATACAAGCAATAATACTAAAGCTATACTGTTTTTGTTTGAAACTCTGCAGTGAATAGAAATCCTCCGTACTCAGTACAGAATTAAACTTTGAACATGCATACAAATATTAAATCCGAATAATTGGTATTTTACAATTTCTGATGTAAACCACTTTTATTCTTTGCTCTCAACGATCATTAGTTGCCACTTATGATCAGTTCAATCTTGAGAAATTCACTTGATAAGTTTGCCAATTTTTAGTCTTGAAAAATTTTCTTTCCATAGTAACAATTATCTTCAAACACAGTTTACTTTTTAATTACAATGCGTTGATCGAATGCATCTTGCTTAGATAGGTTACTTTTTATTTCATGTTGATTTCATCGCTTTAAAACCAATTTAAGTAAATTTTTTTTGTGTGGTTTTTTATATTTAGTTTTGGTGGCATTTACTGGAACCGTGTCTTCGTCGTTGTACAGAATCAGTTGCACCTGCTTCTTTAGCTGGACATTTGTTCTTACTTTCTGGATTGTTATACGGAAGTCCTTTATATCATTTGGTTACAATATCAAATCCAAGTGATTTAGAGTTTAATTCATTATTAAAGCAGACCAGTACCAATGCTGTCGATGAAAATGTTAATTCCAATACTGGAGATGATGCATCTGTTGACTGTCAGATAAGAGGTAATACAAAAATCACTCATGTAAACGAGAATCCTTTACATCAGATTATAGCTTATCTTAGTCAAAATGAAATTATCTCGGTTGTATCTATTAGTGCTAAAGCAAGTCTACTGGTGTGTATTGAAGTTTGCATTAGACGTCTCGAAGAGTCAGTTCTTTTGTTAAAACAGGAACAAAGACAACGGGAAGGTACTTTGGCGACTATGGACTCAACTAATGATATGTGCAAGAGTATCATTCGAGCATCTTATGATGCAGCAAAATTATTAACTCAAGATACGCAAGTAAGTAACTGTATGCATTTACACACTATATAATATCATATGTATTTCATTGCAAGTTTTGGTATACAGGGTTATAAAGCGTATGATTTACCGAAAAGTGGCATGAATAGGCTGTTGGTTTCTACTCACCAGTGTTTTCGAAGTACCCTAGTTATTCTTAAAGTACTGTGCACGAAGATTAGATCAGTCAGTGGGTTGATGATCTCTCATCTGCTGAGGTAGTTAAGATGTGCTACCACTTGGCGTGTGGTCATAGCTAGACTTAAGACAATGTCAATGCGAAGCCAAGCGGGACTGAAAAAAATATGGCACCAATCCATGAATTCACTATTCAGCTATTTGAACTGTGTAAAAATCAATAATCGGAGAATTTAGACACAGTGAATCAAAATCTGTCACAATGACAAAAGTGTATCCGCTTTTTATCTTGAATATCGTATTACTCTAAATTTGTTTATTTCTCCCGTTCCCATATTTTCTTTTCGTTTTAATATCTTTCATTTGTTGAAATACTGCTCATAAGTGATGAAACCATCTAAATGATTAATCTTGGGATAGTTGGTGGTAGAGGAAATTGGATTAGTTGATAAGTTTGCGAGTTTGTTTTCTGGAACTGTTGAGACATTTGTTGTATATCAGCGAAAGACTATCAGTCTGTTAGCTGGATAGAGAAGTATATGGGTGTTTCACCTGGTTGCCGTCAAATGGTGTAGATCAGAAGGTGAACATAGTTGAAAGAAATTGTTCCAAATCGAGTTCTTTGGCGCATATGTGTAGTTTGTTTATCATACTTTTGTTGCCGTATCATTTCTATTTTTCTTTTTTGATTTCCTACTCATCATTTTGTTTTTTTCCGTCACTATACTGGTGCGAAGTGGGACTATTTGAATCCGTGCACTGTCATGAGGTAGTCTCAGTCTGAACCACTGATAACTTTCTGGTAAGTAGTGGTAACTGAAATCTGCAGAAACGTGACTGAATGAAGCATGAATATGTTGAAATCCAGGCCCTAGCTTGAATCCCTTTGATGTGTATTATGCTTCACTACAGGGTTAGGCATGCTGTACAAAACACATGTTCTATTTATATGTTTTCAGATGATCTGGGGTTTTGGAAATTATAGATTTAGCAAATCCTTCAATCTGATGTGCGAGTATTAAGGAGATTTTTCGAATCTTCAAAGTGCTCTGATTAGTTTATATTTTTCACAAATTTCTAATTTAACGATATGAAAAGTAACACTGAAGACCTGTAACAACTGGGTTTTTGTGCCTCCTTTCAGAAAGATTTTAATAGCATAAGTCATGTCACATAACACCTACCAGACAATTTTCGACTTGTTTATCTTATTTCTGATCATATCACTTTAGATCCGTTCATGGTTATTTGAGATAATTCTTGGTTTGAGTGCAATCTGGCCAGAAAATGATTTAATTGCCTCAGATTTTGGTCGTGCAATACTCAATTTATGTGATAAACTGTTGCGAAGATTAGCAGCATGTCATCGAGACTGTGTAAACTTGAACAAAGAAACTAATTTGTCATATGGTGACTATGAAGCGATGAATGAGTCGATGATCTGTTCAACAGCCACAACAAATGATGTTAATCAATTATTTTTCAATTGTATGCCTAAGGTTAGTTCATATTTCTCCATATAATCAAAATCGTGCTTGTAGATAGAGCTATGACTCATTAATGTAGACACTCGACTTTCAGTCAATGGGTCACGGGTTTAAACCCCGCTCCACCTATAGAGATCTGAACAGCTAGCTAATCCTATAAACCCTCAAAAAATAGGTTCATCTCACTGCCTACTCTGTGAATGTGTACCTGGTGAAATGTAATTTTTGTTGGTTGGATTAACTGAGATTGCTATGATTCGACAGACTTGTATTATTAATACGTGGTGATCATTAATAGTGAAATGAAAACTTGCGTTATAGGAGGATTCAAAACAGTGACCTGCGGGTCAACGGCCTGGTGTAATACCAGTTGAGCTACATGACCCAGCTACTTAATAATTCCTCACTTCATATAATTGTATTGTAACACTTCTGAGGCTTCCGGTAAGATTGTATGCACATACTACTGAGCAAGCAACTGTACTGATTCCCCTTAATCTCACAATAATTATGCATCACTCACCTTTTCTTTTCTTAATTCTAAATTGGAATTAGACTCAACTTTATGCAAATTAATAACGCATTAGGCTAAATTACGTCACACCCAGTCCTTAAAGACCAACAACGGCTTCAATAAAAAGGCAGTCCTTTGGAAGTAACACATCATAAATTGAAATATCACCCGGATCATATTGACTGTTAAGACACAATTGTCTCATTCTTCATCTTCTTAACACCTATCTATCAAGTGGACACTCAATATTTGCGTTTCTCATCTACCAACAATTTTCACCTTGTCATGCTTAACACTAACATAAAGAAAGAATTGATTACTACTATATTTCAAGTAGAATAAAAAGTAAATATATGATAAGGCATGATAAAAGTTAACTAATTTCCTGATAAAAGTTACATTATTGCTTTATGGTTATGCCTGGCTCACTAGCGTAAGGAATGGGTTTTGGATTCAAATTCTGCTTCATCTGTTTCGTCCTGGGGAACCGGCTAGGACTGTGAACCCTCAAAAAGTATGCCTCATAACCTTTACCAGGTTTAGTCATATCAGTCAGTCAGTTTGAAAGAAAGTGAAAAAGGTTAAGAAGAATGACATACCAGTGGTTTCACTTGATGTTTTAAGAGACTGGTAGGTGCAGTTCGCACCCATTATTCCTAGCAGGCTCATGGTTTAGCGCTGCTGAGGAGTCCCGTACCAAGACGAAACGGCTTTCCAGTGCTCCCAGGTCAGTCCATGACGAATACTGACTTGAAATAAATAAATCCCCCACAAACCTCCAAAACTGAAATACTCAATATCTTTAGAGTTCCCATGGTTAGTAATTATCATACAAAATGAATAAACCATGTCCTATCAATTTTAAATGTGACTTATCAGCATGAAGAGACTTCAGTCTGTTGAAGCCCTTCAAACATTAACCAAGGTCAAGATAAGTTCAAAATATAATGTAGTCATTTTGATTTATTTACAATCCAATCATGATCTTCTTGTCCGGTATGACACTAAGACTTTTGTTAACCAGCACTAACTTAGAACGAAAATCGGTTTGAACTTTGTGTACAAGTGTTATACCAGTTCATAGTACTATCACTGTAGTATAACTGTAATTATGGTAAACTGAAGAAAAAATAAAATGAGAAGGGAACCAAGCTTTCGAAGATAAAGAGTTACATCATCTTACTGTTGTAACTTGCTTTTTTATATATCGCAGTTCTTTACGAGACTTCGCATGCCTAAATTATCCAAGAGTTGCGTGATTAGAGTTGTGGCTGAAAGACTATAACATAAGCTTCAACTCTCTGCTTTGACATAAATTCAAAACCTTAGGAAATGATTTCTCGGTCATAAATTGTACACTTTGCCTCGATTAAAAGCACTTTAACTTTTATGAAATATTTAGAAAAAGTGATGTGATTATTTCAATCGACCTAGTTCCCTTCACACCATCATATTGTTCTACTTAGTGTGTTAGTTTGTACAACACTTCTGGTGTAAAGTTCAGTCTTTGGTAGGTTTACATTCGGCCTTCGGGTGAGTTGTGTTTCTGACTTCAGTAGGCAAGGAAGAGACTGTGTGTAGGAATCTGGAAACAGAAATGCTGTGTGATCTACTAACTCAACGAGAACATAGATTACATTCATATTTAACCATGAAACCAATTGAGTAAGGATGTTTAGACATGGAAAACAATAATGTAACGAATACACTTTCAAATAATAATAATAATAATAATAATAATAATAATAATAATAATAATAATAATAATAATAATAATTCACTTTATTCCAAACTATTTGCGGTGCAAATTGGAATTCTCCGCATGATATATTGCAACAACAACAAAATATATGTATAGTTTATAGTCCTTCACAACATTTCGAACTGTGTTAACATGAAAACTTTATCAATGTAAGAAATATTAAAAACGAGAACATTTTACGGAGTTAATTAAATTATTGAAATGAGATTGTTGACTGTTACAAAGTTCATATATGAGTTCTGTTCTAACACTTTTCTCTTCACATAATATGCGCGCTAAATAAGGTATAGTCGAATTCTTATACTTAGCTGTTCGGCGGTACAGTCTTGTGTAGTTTCTTCTTGTCCTCCCTGAGGAGATACAAGGAGAGAGCTGTGAATGAAGTGAATCCTCACTGTTAATTGAAATTACTGTAGCTAGTTGTTCGGTAGGATTTAAGTGTCTATCAACTACAGTGTTGATCAGTTTGACCAGAGGCACACCACTCACCCTACTGACGGTGTTCGAAGCCCTACGCAACGTAACATAGTCCTTTTTTAGAGGACCAGGAAAGATCAGTGGGGAGCGATATAGAAGAATAGGTGAGATGCAGGAATTAGTAAATTGTGAAAGAAGAGGTCGAGTTATACCAGAGAGCCTCAGTTTCTTTATGTAATAAGTTGAACGAAAGATTTTTTTTACAAGTCAGCAAGATATGAGACAACAAACGAAAGTCAAGTAAAATTCAACCCAAGATAGTTAACACTCGATTTACTCTCTGTAGAAATACCTTCAATACAACAGGCGTCATGAGACTTAAGCACCTCACACAAGTCTTGTTTACGCTTGAGGTTAAAGTCAACAGTCTGACATTTAGAAGGGTTTAACTTGAGACCATTTGAGAGAGACCATTGGTCAATAGGCGGCAAGAATCCATTTAATTCAGAGCAATCTAAATGAGAGTTAACTGGAATAGATACCGTCACACATTTTTTTCATTTCACCTTTAGTATGAAGTTACGTTTCGCTTTAATCTTTTTGTCTATGATATTAAATTTTGAGCTTTATTGTATATTGTTTGTACATTTGTTGTTTTAAATTATTAGCTGATCGAAAGACTAAATGAAGATTTAAGGAAGTCTGTTTCATGGCATCCACGTTCAACTGGATTAGCAATACTTTCACGTTGTTTACAATTATCTGGTCCAGCTCTTCTAATCAAAGCTAACTCCCAACAATATAATGTATCATTGAATCATGATGATAATGAAAGCAGTGTAGAATGTCTAACTGCTGTACTGGATCTTTTAGAACGTGGTTGTCGATTGGATCATCCACCTGGAGGCAGTAAACTGGATAAATCACCAGGTGGTACTGATCCATTAACGTTAGCTAGTGAAGCTGAAATACGCCTACGTGGTTTAATGATACTCACAAGGTTAACAGAAAATAGTCATATTCGAGTAAGTCGTCATCATTACAGGAGTGTAATTCTGTATGTTTTTGTATTACACGAACTGCTAACTCACAAGTTCTGACTTTAGTCTGTTTTCATCAAGTGTATAATATGACCACTAGGTTGTCATACAGCAATATAAGATATAAGTAGGGCGTCAGAGGATAGAAAGTTGAGCATTTCTTAGTAGAAAAATCAACTATCGGCCGATAAGTGTAATTTAAAATCATATTGCTTTATTGAATTCAGATGATGAAATAATGTCTAATGTAAGTACTTTAATTTTAATGTTTATTATGTTTAGACTTTTTGAGAATAATTAAACTTGGAATTTTGTAGACATCTAAGTTTAACACTTATTGGCGATAATCAGTTAGAATTTGTGCTGCTTTTGAGACAAATATTTGTTTTCATTTAAACTTAGATAGAGACTTAACTAATCTAATCGAATGTTGAAAAATCTTGTGCCTATGTGTGGAAACCTGTTGATTTGTCTCGTCTATGAATGCCACTGAGCACGATGCCTACCTAAGTGATGATGCATCATAGTTGTTACCGTGAAGTATTAAATTGTAGACAATAAGTGTCAACAGACTTGACAGTAATTATGATGTGTCATTATCAAAAATATTGAGCTGGTTTTTTTCCATTAGGTTATTTCATACACAAAAGTGTTTACATGCAGTTCCTTTCGTCAATGAATTCAGAAAGTGCTGAAGAACAATAGTTTGGCAGAATAACATGAATCCATTTCATTTTGGAGTTCCACATCAACTGCTTACAGTTTAAAACAATTTTAATACTAGGTGTTTCTATACTGAATCAACGTGGTAGAATGAGATAGGCTTGAAGAAAGACAACATGGATAATGCGTAATTAAAGTCACACGAATTGAGTGAGTCCAAGAACTACTAATAAGGTTGTCTATACCTGAGAAGACAGCGAATATTCTAGAGCAGGAGTTGAACAAAGAGGGGGGGGGCGGGAGACAGACGTACTCTACATATTGAGAAGGGTTTCATCATATATATATATATATATATATATATATATATATATATATATATATATAAGGGTCAGAGAATTTCCCCCAGCTAAGAGAATGAAGTAAGTAGAATTTAGACAACAAGGTGAAGGGTGTGAAATAGAGTAAGAATAAAAATATATGGGTCTATACGTAAAACAAATTATAACTGTCAACAACACAATGGTTTCTAATATGGTGATTTCACACTGATAACTGTTTCTTTCCGAATATAGAAGTTCGGTTTTAATTGCTTAGTAGCTACCGCTGATGCGAAAAGCAACAAATTTGGGTTCTTATGTTTTTTTTAAAAAAATTTCTGGATATCAACTTCATGTTCATCATTAAGGAAGTGACGAGCAGTAACACTGTCGGAAACCTTCACATCTTTTAGTCCATCCATCCAGATCAACCTAGGACCAGGCATTACTGCGTAACGGTCCGAGTTGCCACACTTCATGTCAGTACATCAAGTAAAAAGGCAGTGAAGTGGGAGATGAAGATAAGAGAATACAGTCAAAAGAAATATAAAGTACGAAAAGAGAGAAACGAAGAATGAGGAAGTGGTGAGATTCGGTATAGCATCGTTAAGATGAGGATAATGTGTGTATACATCTGCTCCACTGACTTCGGTTCTGAGCCATATCACCTAGAGTCTCCAACCACTGATCCCTCTTGTCCCGCCGACCCCAACCACCTAGTCTGCATCGCCTCACATGGCTCAAACCAACGGTCAGAGACTTCTTACATTGGTGCCATGTTTTAGTCTGGCCACCTCAGGCCTTTTTCCACCCTGGACCTACTTCAGTCAACATTGTGTGACGAGGCAGATGGCAACTAGGCACACGTAATACGTGTCCCAACCATCTCAGTCGACGAAGGTTCACAACCTCGTCAACCGACTTACCTCTTCTCCCTAAAACTCTGCTCCTGACTTCTGAGTTACTCAGGTGGTGACACCACGGAATACGTCCTATACTACGAAGTTAACTGTGGTGAAACACCTGAAGCCAGCCTTCTCATGTCTTCCACCTTCAATGGCCATATTTTACAGCCATAGAGTAGGACAGACCGGACTGCTGTGCAGTAAACGCGACCCTTAATTGACAATCGGATATCACGGCGGCGCTATAGGTGGCGGAAGTTGGCAAAAGCCAATCGGGCTTTTTGTATGTGTGCAGAGATTTCATCGGCCAGTGAGTCATCAGGGCTGATCCTACTTCTTAGGTAAGTGAAGTGGTCGACACACTCAACCACTTCACTCTGTATTGTTATCCGCGGTGGGGCACCGTTGAAGACCAATCCTGGAGCAACAATTTGCATTTGGGTGATGAGAACCTCATCCCAAACATTCTCAAATTGCTATTCAAAGTGTTCAGAAGACTGTGCATCTTGTCAGCGTCTTCACTTAACAGGACAATGTTATCTGCATATTCTAGGTCTAACGAAAATTCTCCTGTGATTAGGTCAACCTCTGTAATCAGGCGACGAGAGGGAAACCTCCATAAGAATACCTATGATAAAATTGAATTAGAATGGAGGCAGTGGGCACCCTTGACGGACACCACTCGATGAGTACAGCTCACCTGACATCTCACTATAGGCTCTGACACGCCGCAAGTGTTTGAGTAGAGAGCCTTCAATAAAGTGATGTACTCACTCAGCACGCCTTTCAGTGAGAGATATTGCCATAAGACTTCTCGATCAACGGAGTCGAATGCCGCCTTCAGGTCGAGAAATACAGCCAGTGTCGGGCGTCGGCAAGCGTGTCTGTGTTCCAAAACCTGGCGCACTTTGAATACTGGATCGATGCATCCACGGCCAGGTCTAAAGCCTGCCTGGTTTTCTCAGGACTGTTCCCGAGCTCCACTCAGGCGTCAAAGGATTATAGAACCTAGAATCTTAGACACTATGTTCGTCAGGCTGATTTTTCTGTGGTTATCATAAGAGGACTTCTCGCCTTTCTTGAAGACTGGGATAGTCAGTGATTGAGACCAGTCAGAGGGGATGGTATTTGATTCCCATATACTAGCTAACACTTCCGTTAACCTTACTGAGAGCACTCCACCTCCATCCTTGTTTACCTCAGCAGGTAGTCCGTCTGGTCCTGCTGCCCTTCCTCGTTCCAGGTTACCTACCGCTTTCTCAACTTCTTCTAGTGTTGGGGGGGCCTATCTCTATGTCCCATTCAGGATCCGACTGGATAGCGGGCAACGCAATAGTGGCTGGAGGCCAGTTAAGCTGCTCCTCGAAGTGTTTTACCCATCGTTCCAGTTGTCTCTCCTGCGAGTGAATCGCAGATCCATCCTTATCCGCTATAGTCTCACTAACTTGTTGATTAGTTCGGCAGAAGCTGCTGATATCCACTGGCTCTTTTTAGCCACTCTTTCGGAGTTGGCTACGGTCTTCAGTGCTGCTTTTTACAGCAGACTGAAGATGGCACCAAGCTTCTTCTGGATGAGGGACAGTCTTTTGTTCGGATAACTGCCTAGCCAACTTCTTACTGAACACGGCTTTGGTGTTTTCGCTGTCCAGCAGCACTCGTAGTGGTTTTGTTGCCAAATTTTTCTTACTTCCATTGAGACGCAGGCATATACGTGCTCGGACCAACACATGGTCGCTATCCAAATACGTACTCCAGAAGGAGCGGTAGTCTTCCACCGATCCTCTCCAGCGATGACTAATAGCAATGTGGTCTATCTGTGTCCATCGCTGAGTTCAGCTCGGTGGACGCCAGGTCAGACAGTGTCTTTCTGTATGTCTGAAATTGGTGCTGGCCAAAAATAGGCGTTTATCTGAGCATAGTTGTAATAGGCGATCACCGTTATCTGTATGTTCAGCTGGGATTCCGAAAGTGCCATCTAAGTGCCTTTCTGCCTCACTCAGTTTACCCACCTGTGCATTGAAATCACCTGCAACAACCACCACATCCGAACGTTTAACTTTCGAGAGGAGGTTAGACAGTTTACGGTAGAACTCGTCCTTCACTTTATCTGAGCTGCAGTCAGTGGGTGCGTAAGCAGAGACTACAAAGAGACAACGGCGAGTCTCACTATTCCTTTTAGTTTTCACGGTGCTGTTCAGTCGCATAGCACAGAGACGACTATCAACTGGGATCCAGTCTAGTAGTGATTTTTCTGCCCTAGTGCTTGCTTAGTGCTATGCCTACACCTGCAAGACCCCGAGAGTTATCGGATCTCCAGAAACTCGAAGGGTGAATTTTACGGATTCACCAGATTGGTCGGGAGATGTTAGGTGAATAACCACACTTGCGTCCTGTATGCATGTCTCACAAACCCAGCACACATCCATGGCCTGAGTTGCTAGAGCCTTGGCCCATGAAGTCTGTTGACCAATTTGACGCAGGGTGAGGACATTCAAGGCTCCAATATGTAATTTGGAGCGTGGTTTGAGGAGACCACGGATGCTGTTCTGTGAACTCAGGTCGTTGTCAAAGGCTGCAGAACTAGGAGAAATTGAAAATGATGTAGTATTGTTAGTTGGGAGACGAAGCAGGATTAGGAGATAATGAGAGGGGAGGTAGATAGCAATCTGAGGAAACTTGAGTGCTGACAGAGTTGTGAGGGCGATTGATGCTTCCCGTCTGCCCACACCGTGGAAGGCTATTTCTTCTTAAAGTACCTGAAAGAGATTTGTGTGACCGCAGAGCCCATCAGACATCTGCTTGAGTCCTGTCACGCGTAGCCTTTTGAGTATGATTTTTTTGAACTTTGGTATTTTTGGGGCCAGATGGTCGAAAAGCAACGACAAATGAACCAACACCGCCGGCCAGGCAGACTGTGGGGTATGGTGGAGTGTGTTATTTTTGGGGGCTACCTTTTCCAACCCCCCCTTCCATTGAGAAGACAGCATCAGCATGGTACTGCTGGTCATCCAAGGGAAACACCTTACTGTTGTCACACCCCAACCAGCTAGTAACAGTACGACTTCGCCCTCAGACCCCCTTCACAGTGTAGTAATTTACACCACAACGGTAACTACTTTTTGTCTAACCACTATCCAGCAGACGTTTCTGGTATGGTAGGACCTCGAGGGAACAAGTGTTCCATCAGCATAGCTCGTCGGGTCATTGTGATCTGCAAGCTTGACCACCACGTCGAGGTAGCAGCTATCGGTACTATAACACTTTTCCAGAAATCTTTCCAGTTTCATTAGTTTAAGGTATACAACGGTAAAAATGAATTTAATGGGTGAAAGTACATACATTTGCTAACAGTACGAGAACGAGGACATTTGCAGAATAAAATGAGCTCATTTTATTTCACGGCCTGCAAACAGCCTGCAATTAAAATGAAGCATTAATAGTAATAACAACATAACATACTTTAAATCTGTATGTATGTGTATGGTCTTCCTTTTCCGGTTGCATCATCTTTTCATGAATTACTCACTGACTTTTAATCACTTGACGTTTCTCCAGTTTTTCATATGATTACGTCACCTGCCACTCTTTAAAAGCCCCTTTTACACTTCTTTCTGATTGTTGTCCCCCCGCCGTTTACACAGCTCCAGAATTTTCCCATCAGATATGAAATACCATTGGTTTTGACTAATATTTGTGATTACTAATCCTCTTTCCTTGACTCACTACCTGGATTTCAAATCTTTATTTATTTTTACATATCTAAAGTATATTGTGTTATTCTTATTACCAATACTTCATTTCAATTGTTAGCTGTTTGCCGCTGATGAAAGACTGTGAGGTAAAATGAACTCATTTTATTTCGAAAATACCTTTGTTCTTGCATTGTTCAAATTTGCCAAGGGAACTAAATGTATGACAATCAGCTTTATTATTTAGAAATATGACAACTAGTGCTAAGGTATAAAGAAATCAGAAATAATTCAATAAATAAAAAAGTTTTCTTTTTCGATGATGTCATTTCCTAAAACCGTACAATGATACGTATATAAATAACACTATTTTAATTGAATAACAAGATAGAGATGCATCATTAGGGTAGCATTAAAATTAAAATAAAGAGTGGAGAGCAGTTGCGTAATAACTTGTTAGACAATGCAAATAACGCCAAAATCTAGGAGTTCGGTCCGGTGAAAGTTGTTTACCGATGTGAAGTATGATACTTATGTCCACTTGATACATGCAAAGACGATGAAAAAAGGAACAAGGTTCCTATTAAAGATGATGATAGTAATCTGACAAATTATAATGAAATCAAGAAAAAGGGAACCAAAAGAGTGTGAAGGGTTTAAGACCATGGAGAGACAAGAGGTTGGACATATTTCTGCACGCAGAGACCGGATTTCTATTTGCCAGTGCTTCTGCCGTTCAAAATTTTTGAAATCACTCTCGTTTTGAACTGTTCCGTCGGACTCTATAGATGACATTGAAGAGGGACTGTGGTGCACTTATTTATCCAGATTTGACCAAATATTCAATGATTGAACTAGGAATTGATTTACATTCTCCCATCGACAATCACATAGGATCATACTCAGAAGAAAGTAAGCGCTTTCTGAGACTTATATAATTTTACCTTAACGATGGATTTGTACTCTATTGTTCAATAATAGACTGTTATTTGTTTGTGATTTTTTATATAATGTTAGCTTTTTAAGGATCAGCCATCCCCAATAGTAACGTATTCTCACCTCAACATTCAGAAAAATAGAGGTAGTTTAGTGAATATATATATATATATATATATATATATATATATATATATATATTCACTAAACTATCTCTATTTTTCTGAATGTTGAGGTGAATACGTTACTATTAGGAATGGTTGATCCCTAAAATGGTTAACATAATATGTATATATTTCCTTTTTAAAATTCAAACGTTATTTTCGCGCCGTTATTTGCTCTGTACAATGGCACTTATTTTGACGGCGGTTTAAGTTACTAAACATTGATTGGTCCATTTTACACTCGAAATATGTTATTTTGTTTTCGCCAATGTGTAGGTCCTTGGAAAAAAATACATAAATGACAGAACTTTCAGGTATAATCGCATTATTCGTTTGGAGTCTTGTTGTCTTCTAATGTCAGCTGAGTATTTTGTTGAGAAGTCGTTGTACCATTGTTAGTCGTATCGCGTTGGAGCATTAAATTGTTTATATATAAATAAACACCAGAAAACAATATAGTTATATAAATCACTTCGGTTTTAAAAAGTGAAAATACAGAATTCCTTAAATATGTTGTTGTAAAGTGGCAAATTTTTAACGATAACTTTATCACCTCATTTAACTGTTTGATTCAAATCTTGGTAGAATGTTAAATAATTTCCTATGAATGATTTAATATTTATAGTCAACTCTAATGTATACTTGAAATGAAGCCTAAATATTTTTATCACTCAAGTTGAAACAGTATTGAGTATTTCTATCATCTATTTTTTTCCTCCCAAGGTTGCATTAGCATCACCAAAATATTTAAATTACTGTTTATCTAAATTAATACTACCTGTATGTGTATGGAGAGCTGGTCGAACATCAGAAGCAATGCGTAAAGCAGCTGTTACAAGTTTTTTAGCACTATTGGCTGCAGCTGTTTCAATTAATGATTTAAATGAACTTGTTATTGGTATGAGAACAATTGAGGAGATACAAATCGATAAATGGCTATATGAGAATACTAATGAATCGTTTGATGATGTTTTAATAGAGTTGACAAATAAAAAGATGTTGGATAGTGATAATATTTCAAATAATGGTAAGTTAACTGTAATAATGTATATCCAAGTTGATCTCTTTTACTTCTAGTATCTTTCTATTAACTTTACCTTTACTCATCGTGTTTGTCTGAGTCTTTAATCAGATGCATATGGATAGATTTTATGCTCTGTGAAACTAGCTGTCAAATATCTGTTTTACACGCTATGCTTGTTTATCCTTGATAAGAAAGTTTAACATTTCAGTGAAGCAGATTTGTCAAGGGATGATGGAGAAATTTATACTCTAGATGTCATCAATGATCTGCATGAATAACATGACAATTTCTAAAATTAATGGAGTTGAAATTACTCCCCTGGTATTGTATGTACGCTTTCTTAACCAATATCGAACCTACATAATGAAATTTCCAATGACTATTTCAGAATCCAAACGAAATCAGATTTATTGATTTAGTAGCTATCTGAAATAGCTTTGTTAGTGAACTGATTTTATTGATTAAAGTTATATCGTAAGACAAATTCAACCATTGACGTAAGGCTTTCAACTCAGCATTATATCGATGGAGTTGTTAGACAGAACTGTTAGCTACATCTCATTCGGTTCTCTTTCACCAAGATTTTAGCTTAGTTGTCCATTTTCTAATTGAGTCAACTTATAAGGGTGTAAAATTGACTGATCTCAATGTTGTAGGTGGTAGGGTGTTAATTTGATCACCGCTGGTTAGAATATTGCTGCAGACCAGGTTTTTCCCTGTTCTTACTATCATTCTTATACAAATTAGATTAAGCTGACTAGACACAAAAATTGGTTTTGTTCGGCTGTTAATTACTTGTAGTGTAAGACTAATACTTTCCACTTGTAGAATTTATCTATTTGAGCGTATTAATTGAATATGAAGTCTATTTGACTGACGTATAGAATGAGTCTTTGAACAAAGTTCGTTCCTACTTACGATGGTGTTTTCTCACTAGTTACAATGGTTAATTATTGTAGTACTTTAGGCTTACCATCTAGACGTATTACAATTCCAAACTGAATAAATTTATTTGATGCATATGATAGTGACAAGGCATTCATTTATGGATGACGTTTCAAGAACAAAATGTTTAGCAGACAAGTAATATTTCAAACGAACTAATTACCGTGAACAATTCGTTAACTTGAATGTTTGCTTTCTCCACTGCAAAACAGTGGTGTTCCTGTCAGTCTGTATCAACATAGGACTTGGCATCACCGCATATTGGCTCAGGTGGGGACATCTCACATCAACACTGCAAGATAAAAAAGCACCGAGATCATAAGTGGAGAAAGAGAATGTAGTCAAAAGTAGTGGAAAGTAATTAGAAGAAAGGAAGAAGGGAGTAAGACAGTAACGAAATTTGATGTTACGATTAGGATAAAAATAATGTTTGGATGCATCTGCACCTCTGCGATTGATTCTGAGCCATGTCACTTAGCTAGAGTCCTCAATCATCGATTTTAATTTTCATATACACCCTAACCTGGGAGGTGATATTTGTCTGCATGGCTCAGATCACCAGTCCGATACTCGATGAATTGATACTTTTAACCTTTTTCTGACCTTATTCTAACATCGCGCTTCCAGGTAAGTGGTGGCTGGGTGTATACCTATTACATATCCTAGTCACCTCAGTCAATGAAGGTTCACAGCTTCACCAACTGACTAGCTTCTTTCGCCTAAGGCTCTGCACTCAAACTTTAGTTTACTAATGAGTTGGTTCTACGACAGATGATCAGTACTACTTAGTAATATATCTACCGTTTAAAATTGATGAATTATACTAATATATAACATCCAAATAGTATTTCATCATGATTTACCTACGTAGGACACGTTATAGTAGTGTAGTGACGACATATATTATTGATAGTTGGAAGTGTCAAACATCAAAACTGTACATCATGAATTGACATGCTAATAAGTAACACTTCGAGCAGTAACTATGTGTTCGATTAGAAAATCTCCCAGGAGTTCGCTAGTGTCACGATTCATACTTTCAGGCTGCTAACAGGATAAAATGTGAAAAATACGTCGGATTTAGTCAGAGTAAATTATTTTGTAAGAATGATGATTGTATTATTTGAAAGTATATAAAGTAGAGAAAGTTAACACCTTTTTTTTTTCTTCAATTCAATCGTAGGGAATAAATTTCTAATCCCTTGACTATTTCCCCCTTTTTTCTATCATAGATCACACTGAAAAGAAGCTAGTTGATAAATACAGTAATTTACCAAATCTCTCCAGTTCAGTATTATCTTTAATGTTAGCACGTTTGGGCTCATTATTAGATGATGATTTGGAAGGGACTAGACGTATGGCATGTATTTGCTTAACAATGTTTTTTAATGGTCTATTATTACCATCACCGTTGTCATCATCATCATCATGTTCACGAAAGGCAGGATTATCCTCAAATGGTGATCATCATCATCTATCTGTTGATGATAATAATGTGAAGAGAATTTCAGAATTTTTAAATTCATCCACTTGGATTCAACCTCTTGGTGAGAACAATAATAATGAAGCACAAAAGGATAATTTTATCCCGTATTGTCCATTACCAAATTCATTTGGTGATCAAGTTTATCGTTTCTCTAACAATTTTATTAAACGTTTAAATGATTCAAAAGATCAGGTAAAACTTCTTTTTATTAAATGACATTGGTTGATTCCGTCTTAAATTGATCGTTTACCTAGTAAGATTACTTGTGACTGATATATGTATCAATGGGCTATCTGTCTGAATTGATACACTTCTTTATGAAGCTCTACGTTACCTACTGTCCATCATTCTGTCGACTACAAAAATGATATTACTAATGATGACTGAATTAAAAATAAAATTTCTTGTAGTTGAAGTGTTGACGTTCCAAGTTAAGTCAATTAGGAAGTGAGTACGATTTATTGAGACTTCGTGTGTTTGTCAACCTCTCTGGTTTTCTCATTCATTGTTTAAAATAGAAATTTACAATTTAATTATCAGGGCCTACATTAATTTCACTATGTATTCATATTTGCGCACAAGTCAAGGAATTTGAAGGTCAAACTTTCTACTAAGTATTTTGGGTGATGACTAAGTAACTGTTAGTAGTTTCGTCAATTTCAGCAGAATTTTATCAAATTTTCAAGGTGACCAAACCACACAGATTGACTTTGATTTGTGCACAGAGACATAATCTTGCAATGAACATTTCAGTTGTATTCTCATTGTCCTCAGAGCGTCAAAATAGATATTAATTCCGTTAGCAACTAGCTACCAGATATGTTATTACTGTTGTACTAGTTAAAAATTTATCTCACGAAAAATACAGTTCGTAAAACAAATGTAGATGAAGAGTAAATGTTTCACTGACTTGTTATAAGCTGAATTGTTGTTATTGTTATGATACTGGAAAATAATGTGTAGTTTTTTCCTAACGGAGGTAATAACTAGGGTATGGGAATAAGAGGTAGTCGCGTCGTACTGGTTTACTTCACTGATCATCCAAATCTATAATAAGGGATAAAAGTCTTGTGACAATCAGTTTGCCGAATACCGTGTCCAAGATCCTGGGGTTCATAATTATCCAACTCAGCCGGAGCTCGAGAAGAATGAATTTGAGAAAACTAGATAGATTTCAGACCTAGGCGAGGGTGTATCGATCAGATATCAGATATCGTCAGGTTATGGAACACAGGCATACTTACTGGCGGCCGACACATGCCATATTTCTTCACCTGAAAGTGGCATCTGACTGTGTAAACCATGAGGTGTTTTCGAAGTGTCCGATTGTGAAAGGAGTACCTAAGAAGTATGAAATATTAATGAAAGCTCTCTACTCAAACTAACGCAGTCGTGTAAGGGCTTATGCAGAGTTGTCCTCCGAATCGATGACGACTAGTGGTTCCCGATGTGGATGCCCCTTGTCAACGTTCCTATTTTATTTCTCTATAGATGTATTGGCGAGCGTAACCTTAGGTACGTCTGACTTCACAGGGATTAATCTACTCCCAGGAGGGCACTCGGTTAACTTGGAGTCCGCATATGACAATCTCCCGCTAGGTGAAGACGCTGACTAAGTGCAAGGTCTTCTGAATGCATCAAACAGAAATCTTTGTGTATTTATTTGACGTGCGTTTCGCACCCGTAAAATAATGCTTCAGAAATAGTCTGGAGCTACTCGGAGTTTAATAGTAGGCATTAACATGATAGAATGCACTGACTTCCACTTGCTTGGTGATTCTCATTTGCCCAAATGGGTTGGCCACCGATAAAATACCAACCCATTCGGCATTCTCCATTTCCCTTCATCTCTGACGCCGATTGGCGAGACATCCGACTACCTATTAAAGGACGAGTATATTGTTTTTCAGTGTGTTCTATCCTGTTATAAGGCTGCGAGACATGGCCGTTGAAAGTAGAAGATATGAAGAGACTTTAGGTTTATGACCACGGGTGTCTCATATAAGGTGAAATCACTGTATGAGTAATGTTGAAGTTAGACGAAGAGTAATAGTCCAGGAAGGCAAGTTGGTCGATGAGGTTGTGAAGCTTCATGGACTGATGTGACTTGAATATATGTCGCGCATGCCGAGCCACCACTTACCTCGATTTGCAATGCTATGAGAAGTTGGATTACGTTGGAAAAAGGCTGAAGCTAGCGCCTAGTCCATGAAGTCTGTGACTGTCGGTCTGAGCCTTATGTAGGTGAACCAAGACGATAGATGTAATGCAAGCGATTTAACTCTTAAATTTTGGGGATGGAGTCAGTTAATTCCACCCAAGTAGTGTCGTTGTGTCTTATACACCCAATGAGTGTCCACTACTTAATTGTATATTTGATTTTTAGGTTGGAATTCATCGTGGACTGGCTGCGCGCCGGCGAGGAGTCCTATACTATGACAAAATAGCTGTTCAGTGCTCGCAGGTTTCCAGTCTTCTTCCAACTGATGCCGGTCCACGATGAATTCCAACCTAAAAACAAGTCATAAATCTCCACACATCTCCAGATAGAATTAATCTAGCGCTCATTGGTGACTAGCTTCGGGAGGTGATTCCCGAAGCTCCAATGAGAAGTCGTGACCAGTGGAGTCAACTAAGTCGAACATGAGAACAGTTACTGGACGACGACATTGGATGTAGGTTGCGCTATATCATGAACTGGCAGAAGTAGGAAATATGGACCAGTGGATTCTGACCCAGTGGCTCAATGGTAACATTCTGACCATGGGACCAGAAAGTCCTAGGTGAGATCCCTGGAGGTACAGGGTCATGGTTGCGCACTGCTGATGAGTCCCTTACTAGGACGAAACAACTGTCCAGTGCTCCCAGGTTTCCAATCTTCCTCCAACTGATGTCAGTCCATGATGAATTCCAACCTAAAATCAGTTAATAAATCTCCACACACCTCCAGGTAGAATATTTAATTTCTCACGTTTATCTGGTTGTGATCACGTTCTTTTAACTATCATGTGAACGACTCATATGGATTTCATACAATCCACTTAGTGATGCCTGAATAATTTTACTAACCAACACAGCCTAGATGCATCATACACTGAATTTTATATGATTACCAATTGGCGTAATGAATGTATTTGTTTGTGTGTAGTGCTGGGGATTTTGCGCGGTGACGAAAATTATTTATTTAGTAATAATATATCTATGAATTATTGTTTGTTAAAGATTCTCAATCTATTTAACTGAAAACTTCATTTATTTCATTGAAATGATCCTTGTTCTTGTCTCTTTAACTTTCGATAAAAGCATCCTCATTTCCCTTTATTCTTTTGTATGGCAGATACGTCTACTTATATGTGAGACAGTTATTTCATGGATACGTTTACTCATTCCAATGTTAACAGCAACAAATCATGAAAATGTCTCCTCTCATCCTCAATTGAATCCTGTATACACTGTTGTTATTGAAGATTTTCTAAATGGTATAATTATCCATTTGGATGATCCAAGTTCACAAATACGTGCAGCTGTATCACGTGTTATCCTTCGAATGAATCAATTCACTTCAGATTTAGTTATTAAGGTATTAATGAAAGCGAAATCTTGTCATCGTTTCTCTCAATTATGTGATCAACTCTTACAATTTTGTCATTCACACCGCACTATCAATGATAATTAATATTTATGCGTTAGTACAACTTTGTCAATGGATGCGATTCAATTCTTTTAATAAATAAGGGGAAATAAATACATCTTATGACTGATTAAATTCATTTTTTACTGGTATCGTTTTAATTGTTAACTTATTTAGTTGTTTTTATTTTTCAGGCGAGCATTTTAAACTAAGAAAAAATTGATGAATTTGTCTTCTATCCCGGAAGAAATGTGTAATTGATAGGTTTCTTAAAAACAAAGGGAAATAAATATTAAGAAAACCGTATATATCTCTATTATAATGGAGAGTAAAATAAAAAAAGTTACTAATTTTAGCATCTTTCTTTTTCCTGTAGTATAGATTAACACTAACGGGTGATCTTATTTTGTGAGGTGAAAATGTAGCTTGTGTTAACTCCAAAAGTAGTAGTAGTAATAATAATAGATGCAGAATAAGTGTGTGCATGTTAAATCTCTCATAGACTTTATGATCATGGTGTATATTCATGTATATGATGTATATGATTTAGTGTAGATATTCACGTTTGAAGCATTTATATTTGTTACCTTATCGGTTTCTTTAAGCTGAACCAATTGTTCCTTGTTTAACATATCAACTCACTATACAAATGCCTTAATATTGCTAATAATTTCATTTTAATAGTTACAATAGGCAATAGATAATAGTGGAATGCAGTATCCACAGTTTTTCATGTTTATGACTTTTTAGTAGGGAAAAACATGACATTTAGAAGTCAGTACATTCACTTGATAGCATCCAGAAATTCCATTGCTAGCCATTATCCGTCATTAAAAAAAACATGATGAACTTACTCATTGATATTTTAATTGGGTAAATAACTTTTGGTCCTTTTTTAATACTTCTAAGTTCCCGTTACTGTCTAAGGTTGAATTACTCGACCTCTGTTGGTAGATGTGCTCCTATCTGGAGGCCTCGATACTACCGAATATTCACGGTGTCGCATTCATTTCGGTGATTAGCAGTGGAATCCAGGACATGTGTTTCTTCCTACCTGAGACTCATCAACTGGATGTGCCTGCACCCCAGTGAGTGGTGCTCGGTCCTGTATAGCAACGGGACGTACGCTTCATATTCATATCACCATGATCCTTTACTATTATTTCAGTCATATCGTCTATTTGTCATGGAAATCTTGTTATCATTGAGTTGAAGTAGTTCAGGGTTGTTGGTAAGACATAGGTGTATTATCTGGGGCAAGGCAACCAGGTGTCATGCCCTTTGACTATTCTCAATTGCTTGTTGTTTCAGTCCTTAATAGAGGTGAAAAATCCTCTTATGATAACCACAGAGAAGTAAGCCTGGCCTGCATAGTGTATGTACTTGTAGATTCTATTATCATTCAGCACCTAAGTGAAACACTGAAGATCTGAAGAAAACTGGGCAGGTTGCAGACAAAGCCATAAGTATATCTAATATGTCCTCACCCTTCCTGTGACTGCAAAACGTAGACATACTTGCCGATACTAGGTATAGTTCTTGACATGGAGTTGATGTTTGACTGTGTCAGTTGAAAGGTCTTATGACTGCGTTTCCTTGGAGCGGTATCCTGGTTGTACGTCACTTCTGGACTGTTCTCCTTCAATACCCTATCTGACAGCAGGGAGTGATATGGTTAAGTACGTTGATCACTTATCTTTGGTTGGCAACCTATGAAATCTTGTCACATATCACCTGGTGAAGTATTCGAGTGGTTGTCAAGATTCGATTGCACTGCGTAGCAGCCTTGAAGTATAGTCATTAAAGGTGAGGAACTTGAAAATGTTCCAGTATTTCTACTACCATTGACTTCGTAGTGAAGTGAAGCTACTTACAACAATGCTTGTAAGTAGTGCGTACATCATTGTTTTAGCGATAATCGACTGTTTGGGTAGCAAGCAAAAAAAAGCAATGTTAGATGCAAATATAAAAGGCAAGATCGGTACAAAGTAAGATATTGTTTGCAAATGGATAACATTGTAAACTTCAGCGTCTTTACCACTACCAGTTGCATTTTCTACGTTTTGTCAGCTCGAAGCATTTTCTGCTGAAGTGCCTAATCCTCTTGTGAAGGAAACATATATCGTTTCTGTTCTCGTGCAGGGCTGCTTTCTGTAGATGTAGGTCTACAGTTTTGCATCCTGCATCTCTACAGTCGCTGCTGTCGTGTGCATCAGCTGTTGAGCTGTGGCAACTGGAATGCTACCCATAAACTACGTTGCCGGTAGTTGGGTTCTCAACTCCTTACCGATGTTAGGTAGTGTGCGGCCGACAGGACTGGTGAGTCCCGCCGCCAACACTAGTGGGTCCCTATTAGGATAAAAGTGGAAACGCCCAGTCCAGAGCATGGTATCAGTCCATGAATTTCATTACTGTTGGTCTGAGCCATATAAGGAAAGGTTGGTTTGTGAATTTCTGTCTGCTTGGTAACCGAAATCAAGAGATTGGAAACTCTAGGCGATATGACCCAGAGTCGGCTACTTCAGTGCAGATACACCGTTGCCTAATCTTCGTATTACCCATCACACATTTGACTGGTTACATTGCCCCACTTCTTACAGCTTTGACCATTAAACAGCAATGTCAGTTGCCATGGTGACATGACATCTGTATGTCCATGTTTTTAATCCAGTGCAATAAATGTCATTGACAGAGTCTTACAAGCATTACTGAGTAACAGTACAGGTTTAGATTAATCGCAGTGGGATTCATAAAAGGCTATGAGACAAATAAATCAGATGCAGCGAGTAAGCATATGATATCCAAATATTTAGATGGAGTGCGCTTCACTGGAATCGATTTTGACTCATATTGCCTGAAGTCTTCACTTGTCTCACTGACTTATACCAGAACAAAAGTCTCCACATGAGTAACACCAACGGTCATCTCATTTAATATTTGAATGGTCGATGAAGGTATTGCTCATCAGCCAAGGCAGTTCACTGTCCACCAGTGGGTAGTAGACATATGGACAGTCAAGTAGTATTATTTTCTCTCACAATAGGTGTGGCTGATTATCAAGTGCCTGAAAATGCACGCAGTTACTGAAGGCGTTTAATTTTGATAGTAGAATAGCCAGTTTCTGAAATCTGATCAGCGTTACTTTCAATTTGATGGATGAATGCTACCTATTTCGAATCTTCCGGAAGTATATCTAAATCCATTTTACCTTCTGTTACTTTCAACTTATCAAATACACCAAGATAAATATGCTTGAGAATCAGGAGACTTCACAACTTCTAAACTGATATGAAAGTATCTGCAAATAAAACCTCATGCTTGAATAGCTCTAATGTCAAAGGATGCAAAACTGCCTAAGTGGCTTGTTGAGTGAACAGATAAAAAACTTAGAACAATGTTTTGGACCAAGCTGATGGTTGTTTACAAATCAAAAAATATTAAATTAATCGAAGGATTAAAGGTAAGAAAGATTTTGCTAGAATAATCTTCGGGGAAACAGTTTTGGAAATGGATGAAAGGCTTCAACTACCCACCTAATAGGAAGTCTTTTTTCCTTAATCCAACACTACATAATGATTCTTTTAAGTACTTTCAGTCAAGTCGTTTGGTTTCTGGTAGTGTTTTTATCACAAGTTGAAATCCAATTTCGGCACGAATTGAAACCATTCAAAGAACTGTTGAAAACCACTTGAAATATGTTGCTTGTATTATTCCATCGTTGATCGGACGAAATTGACCTGTCTTTATCGTTATGTGGGCTCCTGTGCTTATACCCCGATATTGCCTGTCGTTTCAGTTTTGATATTAATGGTGGGTAGCAGTGGAACCCGTGACACGTGTTTCGTCCCGTTTGGGACTCGTCAACTGGATGTGCTAGCCACCCAGCGAGCGATGTCTTTCTTACTGGTATTCGAACCTGGAGACTATCGCTTCAGATGGCAGAGCATTATCCACTTGACCACTGAGTCACAATGACCACTTATTATGGGGACGATATGGCTCACTGAGAGGCAGGTAATGAGTCCCAGATTAAATGAATCATGAATCCCACCTCTAGCCACTACCCATTATTAATACCGCTCAAAATATGTTTTAACCTAATTTTTATGTCTTCAACAATAACTACTGACCGCTTTGTTTGAAATTGAACCCAAAAGTGCCTAGTCAGTTGACGAGTTATAATCCGAGGGTAACATTTTACAACTAGTTTCCCGTGTATTGTGACCTTTCACCAGTATTGTCAGTAAACATCCCTCCTCTTAACTTGCCTGACCCCATAGGTCATTGAAACTTGACCTAGTTCAAATCCAGTTCATTCATGAGAATACTAGTTTAATGGCTTATTATGAAAGTTAAAATATCTGAATACTGGCTGGAGTTCCCGTCAACATTGTTTTTATGAATATCTCAGTCTGTTGATTGTAGGCGATCGGCAGGAAGCCATACTCCACGTAGTTTTTGGTGTATCTGTACCCTCGAGAGAAATGATGTCCCCTCTGAGATTAGACTCCACGTCACCCAGTGCTACAGCCACCGATGTTATCAATAAGCTGTTCGGGCCATAATTGACCTATGTTGACTAACCAGATTGCTCTCACAAGATAAATTAGTAGTCATGTGTATCCTTACGAAGAGATCTGACTGAACAAAGAATGTCATCAAAGTAGAAATTATAAACTAAATTATATCCTTCGTTCGCATGCACTCAATATTTCAGTATGAAATTCATATTGTGTTTACATCTCATCAGATTACTCATCCAGAAACTTATTGAATCATCGCTATTTCTAACTTAGGATTAAAAGTTGTGTACTTTGTGGTCTGAATCCCGTATCCACCTAGCTAGGTTTGAACAGTGAGGTAATATTACAAGCCCATATATAATAGTTGTGGCTCATTGCCTACTGCACGAATGTGCACAAGGTTACTGAGTGGATTTTGGTCACACCACACAAAGCCAGCTCATGCCTTAAACACTAGCTCTATTCACAATGTGCTACCACTAATAAGCATAAATGGGAGCCTTTATGTCTGCAAATTTAACATAATTCAGTACTTTTGGTGTTACCAACTACACCTTCGTGCAGCAGGCAACTAGTCATACTTACTGTATGAAGGTCAGTCATACTGCCTGTCTGCTTAGACCTTGCGAGGTTTGAACCTTTAGCGTCACACACTTCTCCAGAATCAATAGCCTAAGGTTCGACGAGATTCAACATTGATGCTGACCTTGATGGTTTAACTGGACTCGCTAGGCTGAAGGCACACGGTCAAGCATTCACCCCATTTGACACGCTGTCATGTTACGTTGCGCTGCTCGTAATCGACCCTCTAGCCAGTTAGTTGGAACGCATCGGTATTTTGGCACGACCTCGCAAATATACTATTCCATCCGACTACGCTACTGTGTTCTTTCTTGTTGTCTTATTCGTGGTTACATAACATGTTCGAATAATTAGTTGTTGACCTCTGCGTCTGTCAAGTTCGCACCAGGATAATTCCTAAAAGTCCATGACTTATTGGTCAACAGTCGAGTCCCTAGATTAGTGATTCACATCTTAATGAGTAACCTACTATTATCGACCTAAACCCACTCACTAAAATTCCTTACATGTACTAACAAGGTTCACTACACCAATTTGTATTATCTGTGCATTTGAGATAACCTCACTTGATTTCACCGGGTTGTTATCGAATAACAGTTTTGGCTACTTTCTCAACTCACGATGAGTATGTATAGCGTCTTAGGCCAAACAATATTCGAGATGAATTTACTGAAGTCCTGAAGAGAAATCGTTACCTGCGAGACCGTCGAAGTCGAATGTAAGGACAAATACTCAGCGATAGCATCGGATGATTGTTGCCCTATGTCACGAATTAACTGAATCTGGAAAATGTGATCCATTTGATTCCAACCGATTGATTAAGTGTTATTGTGCTCACCACGAAAATTAACAGTTATTGGCTCAATCCCTTGTAGAGTCATGAATAACACTGCTAAGGAGTCTCACACTAGGACGAAACAACTTCCCAATGTATCCAGGTTTTAAATGGTTTTCCAACTGACTTCAATTATTGGTGAAAACAACCAATCTTCAGAAATCACCAGCTGAATCCTGTTCAGTGTTTCAGTTTAGGCATAATAATGCTAAATAACTCGAGTGAAGATACAGGAAATCATATGGGATCAGTTTCCCTAAGTTTAGGGAATGCTTTACATTATCGAAGAGTGGAGTTTACAGAGGTATGTTTTTACACTACCTCTTGGTAGTGAACTGTTGAAAGTGGTTGGAAGTTTATACACTTCAAAAGTTGTATAAATGTTCATGAACTTGTGGGGGATAAAGACTGTATACTGAAAAATAAGAAGCGTGAGGCCAGTCTGCACTACATTTGGCGTCGTCATAATCGAATCTGGCATTCAAAGTATACAAAATACAGTCTCTAAGGAGAAATTAATTCCTTCAAGGTTGAGGATGCGCCTTGATGGCATACGCCAAGAAGCATGAAACCTAAGTCCAGGGCTTTCCATCTCCCAACTATTTCACACCAGTCAAGATGCACCACCTGAAATTCAACTTGTCCAAGTTAAGGGTGTCGATAAATTCGATTACATTGTTGACCACTATCTCAACAGGATTTCTATCATTTGGTGGAAAAACTACATAGTTTACTTTTAAATTCCAGCGACTAGTGTTTCAGGAGTCCCATACAAAGAATGAAAAGGTTGTTCAGTACTCCTAGGTTTTGAATGATTTTCCAAAGCATATCAGTGCATGGTGCAAACTACCTCCAATGTAATCAGTTCCTATAAAGAAGTAAATGAATTTCTTAACTTGTCAGTCAATATCATCAAACTATTTTTACTGGCTGCTCACACTTACTGAATAAAAATAACTACTCATGGTGAATACATACGCTACTTTTGCAGATGCCCTAACATTCATATCGATTATACTACAGTAGTGCCTTTGTGTGGTGGCTACTAGTGAGATCCAAAAAGTTTATTTCGTTATTATTTTTCTTAATGAAGGGAGATTTTAGGTTTTGCCTGTGCAACAGATACGTTGCAGAGTGGTTTCATTTAAACAATGTTATATAGTTAAGCACATTTTTTGAATTAAAATTAATGACTTGCCTACTTCCATTTATAAAGATGTAAAATAGGATAACTATGAATTCTGCTAGAGAAATTCAACATGAATTAAAACAACTGAAATCAACGAATCAAAACCGAAATACATTATTTATTGATTATCATATGTTAGCTGAAATTTTGCCGAAACCACCTGACTTACCCATACCAGAAGAACCAATTTTTATTCCACATGAATTATACAATCTAACTGTTAGTAAATATAATGAAATGAAATTCTGTGTGGAAAATTCTTCACAGGTAAGAATAAGTAGCTTTACGATTTTAATTCTATTTGATTATAAAATTAATCTGACGCTGTACTGACAAAATATTAAGCTACATCATCCTGAAGAGACTAAAGGATGCGCTGGATTCAAAATTACCACCGGGACAGGCTGGCTGGATTAAGGAAGTACGAATCATGTGCGGACTAAATTGAAACGCTACGCATCACAGAACAGAGCATAGAATGGTAGTCAACTCAACTCTGCCTCAACTTCATCGACTTTGAAAAGGCCTTCTACAGCTTCGGCCAACAAGTAATTTGGCAGTTGCTTCAACACTACTGTTTTAGTGCCACAAACATTTATCAACCTCATTCAACAAATATATGAAAACGCCACGTGCGAAGTGATTCACAATGGAAAGCTCAGTGATACCTTTAAAGTGAAGATAGGAGTAAGACAAGGCTGTCTAATATCACTCATGATATTCCTGATTGTGGTCGGCTGGATCATGCAACAAACTGTGAGGAGCGAGAAGGGCATACGCTGGACCAGGGAAAAGATCCTAGAAGATTTGGATTTCGCTGATGACTTGTGTCTAATGTCACACCAACTTGAAGATCTACAGACGAAAACTAACAAGTTGACAGAAGGGGCGAGGCGAGGCAGCGAAGGAAGACGGGACTTCAAGTGAACGTAGAGAAGACGGAGGTGATGAAGATACCGCACCAACAACTCCAACAAGAACAACAAACTCCAGTTACCATCAGCAGGAGAAACTTAAAGGAAGTAACATCCTTCACCTATCTAGGCAGCACTGTTTCAACTACAGGCGGCACAGGCACAGACGAGAACGTCAAAGCCAACCAGGATCGGAAAAGCAAGACAGTTGTTCATTAACCTGAAACCAGTGTGGAGATCTACTGCACTGCACTCAGCATAAAGCCCGAAGATGATCCGAATTTTCAACACCAATGTCAGTGAAGTTAGTGTTTCTATGTCATGGTTCGGAGACTTGGCGGCGCGTTACGAAAGGGATTTCCAACAAACTGCAGACATTCATCAACAACTGCCTATGCTGGCTCGTTACTGAATCTGAGATGGCGAGAATAATAAGAATAGGCAACAAGGAACTCTGGCAACCAACCAACCAAGAACCTATCGCTGAACAGATATGCAGTGGAAGAAAGTGGATTTGGATTGGGCATGCACTGAGAAGGCCGATTAGGGACATCACGCACTAGGCCAGGCACTCGAGTGGAACCCAGATGGGCGTCAGAAGTTGACATGGAGGAGATGGTGTGAGAAAGAAATGAGAGCTTGTGGGCAGTGGTGGAGCCAGGTTCAAAAGATTGCAGAGAACAGAGTGAAATGGAGACGTGCTACTGAAGCCCTATGTTCCACTAGGAACCCAGGGGACAAATAATTTATAATGTATATGTACTGACAACAGTGTTCACTTTAATATTGAAATGTTCACTAACAAGATATAATGGCTAAATGTGAACACTACTTATCTTTTCCTCACTTTAATAAATTCAGAAGTGTTACACGTTGGAATCCGATGGTGACTAATTTGTGTAAATTCGGAGAGTTTACGTTAAATTGAAATTGTTTCGTACAAAATGCACAAACCAATAATTATTAGACGTTTATTTCAACCTCTTATCATCAGTTTGAAATTCTCATTAGTACGTGAACTTTAGGGTTTCTCACTTCCTTGAAGGTATGTCATACATGAAGGACTGATATTTGTATTAGATCACCTAATATTTTCAACATCTTAACTAAAGCCATCGAACAGTAATCGTGCTACACCATGAAATGACAAGATACTGAAAATAAGTATTGTCACTCAATCCTGTAGCCAAGTCATAATCTGCACGTGATGAAATCTAATGGCCTTCGACTTGATCGTGAATGTGTTCTTCGGTGCATATTTATGCGGGTTACCAAAGTCGACCGAAGTAACTGTACAGTGTTGTCTGGTATCAATACTTACGTAACGAAACAACTTTGAAATCAGTCACCTTCCCCGATCAACCGCCGATCATGACACTTGAATTTGATTGTTCTGCTTCACAAAGTACCTTCAGTTCTGTTTCCTGAATCTTTTTTAATGACGAATTGATCACACGTATAATAAAACTCTACTAAAATTCATTACTGATTGATAAGTGCAGCTGAATTATGACTTATACGGTTACCTAGGATTCTCTTAGAATTTTACTGCTTGACATCAAAACACGTCTTACTGGCTCCATGAAGTTTCTCCACCACTTTTATGAATACCTCATTTCCGTCTTTAATGCTTCGAAATCAGAATTGGATATCTTAGGTGTTGAAATCCTGACATGTGTGTATGACTAAATGATGTTCGTTTCCTGTTGTCACTGTGTCGTACTTTATCGCCAGTAGTCATCAGTCAGTGATAAAAGTATGCCCAGTTTTATTTTGTGAAGTTCTTTCTTCCTGTGTCCTTCTGATCTATGCGTCTCAAGCACCTAGCAACTAGGAACGTAGACTGCTGAAAATTGATTTTAATCCTTTTTCATGTTTTATACTCGAACATAATTTTTTTCCTTAATGGTCGTTTCGTGTATCGATCCTTGGAACCTTTTAAACTTTGAAGTATTTTTACAATTCATCTTCGAACAGATGTATCTTCTCTTCTGATACTCTTGAACCTCTGTCACTTTCATAGTGCCTTCAAGGTTGACACATTCATCCTTTCTTTTTTGTTCAATCACCTTTTCAACTAATTTAGTAAGATTTAAGAAAACTCAGTCTACTTCTGATGTACTTCAACACTCGTCATATCCAAATTGCCACAATACTATATCCATTCACTAACCAGTTTTAGGTGATATTTCTCTCTAACGGTCATTTGCTTCATGAATTATATTTACATTAAAAAGTACCTAATTGTTGTCAGTGGTTAAAATAACCTCGTTTATTAACATTTGACTAGAATATTGCACCGAAAATTAACGTGCTATTCTCTCGAATCTGATGAGTCACACTGAGAGATACTACACGAATGTAACTGTACTTGGGAGACTCACAACTTAACATCATTCAATCTTGTTTCAATGTCTACCTTCAAAGCACACCAAGAAGACAGTCAACTTTTATGTATCAGGATGACAACGGATGCCTGTAATTTTTCGACAAAAAATGAGAGTAACGTTTCATCACTCTCAATTCAGTCACATTTTGTTACTATATTTTGCCTCTTTTAACTCATTAACTTTGTTTAAATTAACTTTAAATTTTCATCACGGATTTAAATTGGAGATTCTCAATACACAAGTTGACTGTCTCACAGACTCTGTCGACTATTTTACTTGTTTACTAGGAACATAACACTTGCCCGCCAAAATCAAATTTCATGGTGCACTAATAATGTCATGATAACTGGGTGATAACACTTGAAAAAGCATTCCTGACGGATAGTGGCTAGCACTGGAATTCATGCTGCGCATCTCGTCCTATTTAGGAATTGTCAGCTGGTAAGCGATGTCATTCCTACTAGGACTCCAACCCAGGACCAGTCGCTCCAAACGCCATAGTGTTATCCACTAGACCACCTAGTCATGATAGCCACTTCTTGTGCCTCGGTTGTAGTTTTAATGTTGTTGTTTGTATTATCCTGCCGTTGGGTGAACTGGATTGGTCGATCTCTACTGGCATATGGACTCCTGTGTGGATATCTTGATATTGCTCTGGCACTTGAAGCGATCGGTCCCGAGTTCGAGTCCTAGTGGGAACAAAATCGCTCGATGATGAGTCCCCCATAGGACGAAACGCGAATCATGGATTCCACTGCCAGTCACTGTCCATCAATAATGTATCAAATACAGGCAATATCGAGGCATCCGTGTAGGATCCTATATGCCAAAAGAGACTGATCAATTGAGTCCACTCAACGACATGATAATACAAGCAACAGCACTTTAAAAAACAAATTACGAGTCTGAAACATCCTGTATCGAATTCTACCATAGCCCATACTTTCCATTTCAACTTCAATAATTATTTCCGTGTATTTATAAACAACTTTTTTCAAAACTTTTACAGACAGAAATTTCTGATATATCCGATTTCAATGAATTGAAAGAGAAACTGAACAGTTTAATAATTCTTGTCAATGAATACCCGAAACAAATTAATCGTGTTAAAAATGCTACAGATTATCAAATTAAAAGGATAATTGAAGAGGCCATTTTAAAGATTTATCTATTGATACGTTCACGTCAAGACAATTTAGCTAAATCATATACAGATTCAATTGAACGGATTCGTGGTGCATGTCGTACACAATTGGCAAATACAATAGCCTTTTTAAATGGGTTGATTAGTGCTGCTAAACATAGAGATGAAACTTCTTTAGAAGTAAGTTCATTCGTTCGTTCGCTAAAACTCAGTATTACTGGTTTTGATGTTACACAATTTGGATTTGTATAGCCTTTGACGTTTAATTTCTTTTTAGATACCCAAAGAGTACACTAATTTTTCATTAGCTAGTAACCAGTGTGTCATGTTGTTTAGTTCTAAGTACTAATCAAGTTTATAAGATATAGCCAACAATCCAGATAACTCACCAATGATTCATATTCTACATGTGATGAACGGAATTCAATAGTATCTTTGAGTAAAATTGAAACATACACCTTAGAAATAAAAATGTTCATATTACTGAAAGGTTGGTAATTTACTATTCATCATTTCATTTTCGTTGCATTAGAAATTAAGACGCAGGTTCTTAATCAGTAGGACAAATACCGGAAAGCTGGAAACCCAAGTGTACAGGAAGCCAACACACACTGATCAAATCCTCAACTACTGTAGCAACAATCCAACAACACACAAAATCAGTTGCCTGCAGACTCTATTCAAAAGAACGAGAACACACTGCAGCACAACAACTTCATAAAGAAAACTCCTTGATGTCCATCCTAAAGAAGAACGGGTACCCACGAAACTTTGTCAGAAGACGTCTATCCCGCATGTCATCAAGTACGAAGTCATCGGCAGAAATCAGCAAACGCATCATCCTACCATACATAAAGAATATATCAGAAATCACAACAAGATTACTGAGATCACTTGGAATTGGTGTGGCTCATAAACCAACGAACTCCCTCGGAACCTTATTATGCAGACCAAAGGATACAACAACCGAAGAAGGCAACTCGAATACCATTTACAAAATCAACTGCAATAATTGTAGTCAACACTACATTGGACAAAGTTGTCACCCTCTTGACCTTCGTCTGGATGAACACCAATTGGCTAGTAAAAGTCCCATACAACACTTCTTAACTCATTTGAGTGCAGGTGTATAATTATGGACATGAATTCAATTTTGACAATGTAGAAATTTTGGACAGAAGAAACACAAAAAATATCAGAGAATTCCTAGAAGCTTGACACTCAGGTCAGTCAGTCAGCAATCAACAGATGTATGTCCATAGACCCAATCTATCAACCAATGAGAAAAATGGTAAGCGACAGAAAGGTCAGAGATCAAGCAGAGGAACAGCCAACAGGAAAATCTGTACAGTCAATGACACAACAGTCGAAGGAAATAACCAATCACAGACCACATCGTCAGAGCAAGCCACTAAATCAGTCACGGAGAGAAACTGACAGCTAAACTTCATACTAAAGTTAGTTCTGATGATGTCATCCAGAAAGACGATGAAAGCTCTACGGCTAAACAACCCAACTCAGAGAACACAATAAAACCAAGGCAGGTTCTTATCCCTTCAGAAGCTTCCATCTCCTTCAGACGAGGAGATACCTCTTATTTCTCAGTTTCGTCAAACGTGAGAGTGAGGTCGTAAGTGGTCTTCCGATGACTATTCTCGACCATCTGACGAAGTTTACTTCTGCTTAAGTAACGCTTGACCAAATATTTTAATACGCTTTCATTCACATTTCAGTGAGGATTGGATGATGAACGATTTCAAAGTAGCAATAATTGAAGTGTAAAATGGTGAAATATCAAACAGGTTACTAGTGTATACATCTGCATATTATATGGTCAAGTGAACCCTAGGGCAAATCGATGCCATATTCTACAACTAATTTTGGCATTAATCAACAAGAAATGAGTATGAAGTAGTCTCCAGTGTGATTAGTAATTCATTACCGTTGTTCAGAGTCTATCGATCAGGTTGAATGACGTGATATGGTGTTTTGGGATTAAATGTTGAGAACGAACTGTCAGAAACGCTTATTTGTTCAGGATTTCATGTTTGTTGGCTTTCATAGACAAGGCGTATTCGCAACTTTGTGAATAAGCACAAAAACGTATAGTGATCATGACAATCAATACTTATTTTGTACACACTATTGTTGTCTAAATCAAATAGACTACTGGCTAAGATTTCTCTACTAAGTCAGTGGATGTTTTAATATAGTGCAACAGTTTACCCTAATTCTGAAAAGTAGTCGATAAACGCAATGAGTTACATTCATTTCGTTTTCAAACCGTTAATGAAGTTCTAACCATAAAAGATTAAAGGCCAGATAAATAAATGGAAATACAGAACCACCTACCATTTCAGCTGTTACGACAAACAACTAATTCCAATCAAGTTTGTACAAGGGTATGGTCAGGTCATTTATGAGAGATAAATCGATTTATGATCTTCCTGCTGATTGACTTCAACCAACTAACAAACTGACTTCTGATACACGTGAGTCTTATTCTAAAAACCATCTTCCCCTTGAAGGTTAAACACTTGTCATCAAGCTGTTTTCCTTAGTTATGTTTCAATGTCTATACTTCCGAGATTCTGTTCATTCCTGTTCCTTTTTATTTGATATCAGCAAATTTACAGACATCCACGTCAATAATTACTCACCTTGTTTTACTAACTCTGACTGAATGCGGAGCTTTTATGCGTGGTCAGTAACAGTCGGCAGGAATCTCAGCTTGGTTCGAACTTTCATACTTGTTAGGATTCTTCAATAAGGCTAGCCACCTACCCTAAGACCCCTCAAATGCTTCAGCGCACATTACCTCCTATTTCAAGTAAATGACGTTACGCTTGAGCTATGAAACGAAAAGGCATAGACTGAAAAAGTTCTCTATCAATAACTCCTTATTATTTAAATATGGCAAACTGCGATGTTTAGTCAATTATTTTAGTGACCTCACTGTAATCCTAATTGGTATAATATGGTCAGACTTGAAGTTTAGATAGCTTAAAGTTCAAGACTTCTCGCAAGCTGATCATTTTACGTAATAGTGAACGTTTTTGGAGGATAAATCCACAAAACAACCTAAAACGCTTGCAACTCATTTTTTTTCTTAAAAAGTCGGTTTTAGTTTCTATTGCTGACATCATAGTCCATGCTGTTTAACTATTTTCCAATTCCATTTCGAACTACTGAATAATAAATAGTAGTTTAATTCATATTGCATAATATTGCAATGTTCGTTCAAAATTTCTTTTCAGATGTCTCTTCGAAATCGTATAGTTGAATTAGAGAGTGCACTAAAACAATCTGAATTCGATATGAAATCTCTTCAGGCAAAACTGAAGGAAGCAGAAGAAAAATATGACTTATTAAACCTAGAAATGCCAAATATTATGATTTCAAGGAATTCTTCATTGGGGTCTGTTTCATCTCCTATTCCTCGTGTTACCATTGTTGTTCGTGCAGATGCAGCCGTACAAGTTGCAATCTCAGATACAAAACAGCAATCACTGGAGAGAGAGATAAAGAATTTACTCGTACAGATTGATGTATGTCTTATGAAATGATTATTCTTTTTACACGTGCTAATTTCTTATGCCATGTGATTGGAGCATAAGCCAAATGATCAGTTTTCGTATAAAATCTATATAAGTTATGCAATCAAGCTGATTATTTGAAAATATTTTTTGGTGTTTATTTTTCATTTGATGTATACATTTCTGCTTTGAATTCATTAACTATAAAATGTGAGATTGCGATGCTGAATAGCGAATTGCGAATACTTTACAGTTTCCTTGGGTAAGTATGAGTTTCTAGGACACTAATATCAAACTAACAGGAATCGTATAGAAAGAAACATCCTGTTTGCCACATCATAAATGTGGTAGTTTAGTAGCTTCCTGGAGGAATTTTCCTCCAGACCAACAGAAAATAATAACAAGCATAAATCTCCTTCCTTACTTACGTTAGCCTTATGTCATTTTGGATAGAAAGTATTTCTGTTTCAGTGTCAAGAGTGGTGGATCTTATCCATGCAATGAATGATATTCATACGGTACAACTTCAACGAATACGATGATCTTCATCATTTGAGTTTGAAGCCGATAGAAATCAGGTAGTTTCTTGTGAACTTCATTTGTTTTACCCACATTTGGTAACCTTACTCTTCTGACAGTTGATATGTCCCATCACATCCCAAAGAAAATGGTGTCTTATATGTTCTTAGTGACTTTCTTATGGTGTTATTCAGTTGCCTTGAATAACCGCCATCAGTTAACTTTCCGTTGTGCATCTATAATCAAGTAAAGCTTAGTTGAAGATAAACGAATACGAATAGTGTTTGAAAGATGTTCCTTCCTGAACACTAAAAACTTCTTCAATTTCTTACCTTCAGTGCTTTCCAAAATGGTTTGACCGAAAAGTTTGCATAAATGAGTGCTTGTTTATTTTATATATCCCAATAAATTCACGCTTCAAGGTTGTTTTTCAGTCTAGTTAGAATTATTAGGATGTTATATTGTAGATTACAGATTAACATTAGTGGAAGAAACTTTGATGTTAGTTCGTAGAATCACATCCACACATATCATCTCGACAGTTGAAAGAATGAATATTGAAGCTGAATAATACAAAGTCAATTCATTTGTTTCGTCGTTTTTCTTCAGTTGCACACTAGGTACCATGTGGACCGACGAAGATGGCTTGGAGATGTACTGCGTACGCCGGGCCACCAGCCACCGTGAATTGCCATACTAGGGATGGTTGGAATCACTTGGAAAAGGGTTCAGAGTAGTCACACCGAAACCTCACACTGGTCAATGAAGTCCCTAAGTGTTGGCTTGAGCCATGTGGGCAGATGTAGACTGCCCGGTTGGAGTCCCCGAGATGAAAGGAACCAGTGGTTGAGGACTCTTTGGTGACTTGGCTGATAATCGGTCACAATGATCCAGTCGCTTTCATTCCTTAACATTTTCTAAAGCTTGAATATTTGCACTAACTGTTATCTTCAGATTGTTTGTTCTCTCACACTACTTAATCCAGTTTGATATCGCTCCTTTTCTATCCATCTGTTCTTTATGTACTACTGTGAAGTTTGGCAAGTTGAGCTGATGGACTTGCATGTGAGGTTTAGGGTTGGTTCTGTCAGTTAGTTCAAAATAAAAAATCTATTTGAAGGACGAAACAAGGTATTATTTAATAAGTGAGGAGATTCTGCAAGCTGAAATAAAATTGAAATTCTGTTGTGATGTCATAAATATATATCATAAGAGGATGAAACTTTGCTTGCTACATGGGGTTGGCAATACAATTATTATGAAACTTTGGAGAAGAACATCGCTTAAGCAGATGAGTAGATAAGTTGAATATTAATCAAAAAACAAAATAAAATGAAGTATTATTATGATTATTATTATTAGTCCCTTGGGTTCCTAGTGGAACATAGGGCTTCAGTAGCACGCCTCCAGTGACCTCTGTTCTCTGAGATCTTTTGAACCTGGTTCCACGACAGCCCAGAAGCTCTCATTTCCTCCTCGCATGACCTCCTCCATGTCACCCTTGCCTCGGACGTCCAACTCGTCGCTTCCCATGGGGATTCCACTCGAGCAACTGGCCTGACGCGTGATGTCCTCAGTCGGCCTTCTCAGTGCATGCCCAATCCATCTCCACTTCTTCCTGCATATTTGTTGAGCGATAGGTTCTTGGTTGGTTCGTTCCCAGAGTTCCTTGTTGCTTATTTTTTCTGGCCATCTGATCTTCAGCAGCGAGCCAGCGTAAGCAGTTGTTGATGAATGTCTGTAGTTTATTGGAAATGCCTTTCGTGACGCGCCAAGTCTCTCAACCATACAGGAGCACTGACTTGACGTTGGTGTTGAAAATCTGTATCTTGTTCCACATGCTGATTGCAGAAGATCTCCACACTGGTTTCAGGTTAATGAACGCCTGTCTCGCTTTTCCGATTCTGACTTTGACGTCCTCGTCCGTCCCGCCTGTAGTTGAAACAGTGCTTCCTAGATAAGTGAAGGAGGTTACTTCCTTCAAGTTTCTCCCGTTGACGGTGATTGGAGTTTGTTGTTGGAGTTGATGGTGGTGGTGCGGTATCTTCATCACCTCTGTCTTCTCTATATTCACCTGAAGTCCCGTCTTAGCTGCCTCTTCTGTCAACTTGTTAGTTTTTGCCTGCAGATCTTCAAGTTTATGTGACATCAGGCATAAGTCATCGGCGAAATCCAAGTCTTCTAGGTTCTTTTCCGCCGTCCAGCGTATCCCCTCTTCTCGCTCCCCACTGTTTGCTGCATGATCCAGTCCACCACAATAAGGAATATCATGGGGGATAGTAGGCAACCTTGTTTCACTCCTACTCCTGTCTTCACTCTAAAGGCATCACTGAGCTTCCCATTGTGAATTACTTGGCCGGCATGTGGCATCTTCATATAGTTGTTGAATGAGGCGGATAAAGGTTTGCGGTACTCCGTAGTATTGAAGCAGTTTCCAAATTACTTGTCGGTCGACGCTGTCAAAGGCCTTCTCAAAGTCGATGAAGTTGAGGTAGAGAGCTGATTGCCATTCTATGCTCTGTTCTATGATGATGCGTAGATTAGCGTTGCAATTTGGTCAGCACATGATTTGTACTTCCTGAAGCCTGCCTGTTCCGGTCGCAGTTTTGAATCCAGTGCGTCTTTAAGCCTCTCTAGGATGATGCGGCTTAATATTTTACTTGCACTGTGTGGACAGGAGAGTGATTCCGCGCCAGTTCTTGCAAGCACTGAGGTCTCCTTTCTTCGGCAGTTTGACAAGGTAACCCTTCTTCCAATCAATGGCCAGGTACCTTCTCTTCCTTCCACACCTTCTGCAATAGTGGTGTGAGCATGTCCGCTGTTGTCTCTGCATCTGTTCTCAGTGCTTCTGGCGGTATTCCATCTGGTCCTACTGCTTTCCCGCATTTCAGTAGCTTTATGGCGTTCAGGACTTCCATTTTCGTTGGGGGATTTATGTTCACTTGTAATTCAGCGGCTGCAGGTGGTATTTCTGGACGAAGTGCAGGTGGTGGTCGATTCAAGAGCTTCTTGAAGTGGTCGGCCCATCGTTTCCTCTGTTTCTCTTCTTTTGTAATTAAATTTCCTTCTTCATCTTTTATTGGTTTCATCTGTGTTGGTCTCTTCCCTGATAGCAACCTGGTTATTTGATACAATGTCGTCAGGTCTCTCTTACCTGCAGCCTGTTCTGCTTCACTTGCCAGTGTTTCGTAGAAGTGTCTTTTGTCTTTCCGTGCACTCTTCTTCACTTCTTTATCCAGTGTTTTGCTTTCTTAAGAATTAAAAATATATCATCCACATATCTATGCCAAATTTTGGGTTGGCAATCGACACTTCTTAAAGCTCTGTCTTCTAAAGCTTTCATATGAAGAGTCGCCACATTTGGGGATACTGGTGAACTCATAGCAACTCCATTTGATTGATGGTACATTCTACCTCTAAACGTGAAATATGTAGATTTTAAGTAAAGCTTCAACGATTTTATAATATCCCTTTTTGAAAGTGGACATCCAGATATTATATCTTGATTGTTATTAATAGCAGTTCTCACAATATCTAGACATTCACAAATTGGTATACTGGTGAAAAGAAAAATCGCATCATATTATTATTATTTTTCCCTTGGGTTCCTAGTGGAACATAGGGATTCAGTAGCACGCCTCCATTGCACTCTCTCCTCTGCAGTCTTTTCAACCTAGCGCCTCGACTGCCCATAAGCTTCAGTTTCTTCCTCACACCATGTCTTCCATGTCACCCTCTGCTTGGACGCCTAACTCTTCGTTTCCCCATTGGATTCCACTCGACGGCTTGGACTGGCCTGGTGCGTGATGTCCCCAGTCGGCCTTCTCACTGTATGCCCAATCCAATCCATCTCCACTTTCTTCTGCATATTTCTTGGATGATAGGTTCTTGGTTGGTTCGTTACCAGAGTTCCTTGTTGCTGACTCTTACTAATCTGACCATCTGATCTTCAGTATCGAGCCAGCGTAGTGGGCAGCTGTTGATGAATATCTGTAGTTTGCTGGAAATGCTTTTCATGACGCGCCAAGTTTCTGCACCATATAGCAGCATTGACTTGACACTGATGGCAAAAATTCGGATCTTGTTCCATGTGATGATTTCAGATTAATGAAAGTTTGTCTTGCTTTCCCGATCCTGGTTTTGACATCCTCGTCTGTGCGGCCGCCTGTGGTTGAAACGACGCTGCCTAGGTAGGCGTAGGTGAAAGAGACTAATTCCTATAGATTTCTCCCGTTAATGGTGATTGGTGCTTGTTGTTGATGCTGTTGTTGGTTGGACATCTTCATCACCTGCGTCTTCTCTACATTCACTTGAAGTCCCGTCTTCGCTGACCTGCCTCTTCCGTCAACTTGTTAGTTTTCGCCTATGGATGTTAGAGTCTATGCGACATTAGACATAAATCATCATTGGCGAAATCCGAATCTTCTTCTGAGGTCTGTTCCTCGGTACAGCCATCGTATGCCCCTCTTCTCGCTCCTCACTGTTTGCTGCATGATTTAGTTTACCTTAATCAGGAAGATCATGGGTGGTAGTAGACGGCAACCTTGTCTTACTCCTTTCTTCTGTTTTCACCTCAAAGGCGTCACTGAGCTTTTCATTGTGGATCACTTGGCATGTGGAGTCTTCATATAGCTGTTGAATGAGGTTGATAAATGTTTATAGTACTAAAACAGTAGTGTCGAAGGAACTGCTTGCCAAATCACTTCTCGTGTTCGTCTTGGGAACTAATGAAAATCATGTTGAATTTCCAACTTTGAGTTTCATGTTTCATATTTCATTTTATTCAGTGTGCCTGAATGTTTATTGTTTGGGATAAGTTCATATAGCCCGATTTCCAAATGCTCCAGTGCTTTCTTTTCATAATCTTCATCCAGCATGAACGTGATATCGCCTTTGTCTGCTTTCGTTATGACTATTGATTTGTCAGACATTAAAGTTTTTAAAGCTATTCCTTCCGCTTTCGTTAGATTAGAAGCAAAGGGTTTTTGATTTGCTATGATAGTTCCGACTGTATGACTTATAACTTGCGCTTCTTTCGGTATAATGGATAAAACTGGTTCCATAACTGGGGCTAATTCCATCGTTTTTAGAGGCTTTTTGGACAAATTAAAATTGAGCTCTTTCTTCAGTAGTATCATTTCGTGCTCATTTCGTTGCTTGGTAGATAAATTACATACCACTCTTGTATCTAAAACTTGGCGCTCAACTTCTTCCAGGATATTCGTAACAACTATAGTTTGGATGTTTATATACAAAGTATTAGTCTGTTTTTTAGAAGGACTAGTTTCCATTGATGACTATTCCTGAAAACTTGATATCTCGGGAAAGGATGTATTGCTCATTCGAAATATGTTCTTTGAGAAGTCACCACTTTTATTAACCTCATTTACTTCCTAAAAATTTTTCACTTCTAGGTTCTTAAATCAGCTTTGAGCGCTGTCCAATCACAAGTAAGGTCATTGAATGAACAGCATGACCAATCAGAACAAAAACTCAACTTATTATCCGACCAATTAAATGAAAGCACATCAAAGTATACTAAACTAGAGAAAGAAATGCTGGATAAAGATAATGAATTGACAATATATAAACAAAAAGTTAAATCATCTGAATCACGACTTAATGAATTGTTAACATCAATGACAAGTTTAAGATCGGAGAAGGCTAAATTAGAAAGCGATTATGCAATAAATCGTGATATGGAAATGGTGAGATTTACCATAATATTTTTCTATTTCATTTCATTAAGCGTTTGTTGATCAGTAAGATAAAATTAGGAGATTTGTGCAAAACTGACAATTGAATTTTAAAACGAATGGGTTTACTTTGTGCACTGTAAGCAAGAGAATAATGGACTGATTTCTGATCATTAAATGAACACTACACCAAAATGACTGAACTCATGCATATTTTCTGATGTCACTTGTTGACTGTTTATATTAAAGTTGTGATTGTCGACGAGTCTCAATGGGATTAGTGTAGTTTATATAGGATTTATTCAAAGGATAACAACTGTGAACTATTCATCAAGTATTTAAATAATCAGTAAAGGATAGGATGAGTGTTATCAGGTAGTCAGTGAATTCTTATCAATGACATCAGAAACTCATGAGAAAACTACGTCTTATCTGGATTCAGAATCATAACTATTCAACACAGTAAACTAGAATTATATATTTATTGATGCCTGTAATTCCTCGTTGTTATTCTTGATCGAACTAATCGACCTCTGTTGGCTTATGGGCTCCTATGCACATAGCTTGATACGTTCGCTTGGGATCCAAGACCCACGTTTCGTCCTATATGAGACTCATCAGGTAGATGTGTCTCCAACTGTAAATGTTATTCAGACTTGGGTTCGAACCTATTACCCATCACTTTGAGTACCAGAGTGTAATCCACTGGCCTAAACAGGATGAGATGCACGTTCTGGACTCTACTGCTAGCCACCATTAATCAAACAAGTGGACTGGGATTTCATAAGATGAATTTGGAAGGTGGTGTTTGTACATTTGATAAAAATTCCATACCATGGGTGGGTAACGCTTAGCTGCCTTTCGGGTACCATCTTATTTGTAGACCATTTTAACATTAGTTTACTGAACAAAGAATAGCTGATTTAACTGGATGTTCTGTCTTGGAACACGGTATTTATCCAAAACTTGTGGATAGTTTCATGCCTCATCATAAAAATTTTCTCTTGTGTAATAAAACTGTTTGGTAGAGTGATTGTAACCGTACGGGCGGCTTCAGAACCAAGTGATTGCCTGCACAATTGAACTCCCACCGCATAATATATAAGACTTGTGTAAGCGAAAATACTGGAATAATGTCGAATTAAGTACACACACACGCACTAGGCTTGGTGACCTAACTAATCTCCTTATTCCTGATTACTCCATATAATACAGCAGTGACTATTCCAAACGCTTGGCTGAATGATTGACAATAGACTTTGAACCTTCCGTTAATCAACCGAATGTGTGTGTGTTCTAGAAGTCATCCAGATCCAATCATATTGAAGACAAACGTGGAATGGTCAATAGAAAGCTGGTAAATACCTGGAGATGAGTGTAAAGCTGTTTTCGCATCAAGTCTAATTTTCCCATACACTAAGCCATAATAATAAAGGAAATCGTCTACAGTATCACTGTGCGGGAGAAAAAAGTCATACATTATTATATTATGGAATATGCTCATGCGCAGTTGTGTATATCTGAAGAATAAGCTTCAGATTCAAACCCTAATGTCCGTTTGATTCTTCAGGAATTGAAAGTACGGATAAGACTGCACAAGGTGTATCTCAAGACTAATCACATACAAATATTCAGCCGTATGTAGATATTTACAGTGACTTAGTTTACTTTCATGCCTTTCTAGAAAGCTACTTTCTGATGCCCTCATCTCTTCAACCATCCTGGTATTTACATGTAATATGAGAAGAAAGAAAGGAGGAATGACAAAGTGGTGAGATTCGGTATAGCGTCGTTAAGATGAGGATAATATGTGTATACATCTGCACCACTGACATTGGTTCTGACCCATATCACCTAGAGTCTCCAACCACTGGTCCCTCTTGTCCCGCCGACCCCAACCACCTAGTCTGCATCGCCTCACATGGCTCAAACCAACGGTCAGATACTTGATACATTGGTGCCATGTTTTAGTCTGACCACCTCAGGCCTTTTTCCACCCTGGACCTACTTCAGTCAACATTGTGTGACAAGGCCATCGGTGACTAGGCATACGTAATACGTGTCCCAACCATCTCAGTCGACGAAGGTTCACAACCACGTCAACCGACTTACCTCTTCTCCTGACTTCTGCGTTACTCAGGTGGTGATACCACGGAATATGGCCCATACTACGAAGTTAACTGTGGTGAAACACCTGAAGCCAGCCTTCTCATGTCTTCCACCTTCAATGGCCATATTTTACAGCCATAGAGTAGAACAGAACGGACTGCTGTGCAGTACACGCGACCCTTAATTGGTAATCGGATATCATGGCGGCTCCGCAGGTGGCGTAAGTTGACTAAAGCCAATCGAGCCTTTTGTATCCGTGCAGAGATTTGATCGGCCGGTGAGTCATCAGGGCTGATCCTACTTTTTAGGTAAGTGAAGTGGTCGACACACTCAACCACTTCACTCTCTATTGTTAGCCACGGCACCGCTGAAGGCAGATGCAGAAAATTCACAGTGTCTAGACTATCATGTATTACTCCATGGAATTACTGAGCTTATCATGTATCTATTAGACATTGAGTTTTGTATGCCAGAAGCAAAGCTATGTGACAATAATGGTTTCAATATACTTCAAGTGTGAATTAACTTTCCTTTCTTCACTGATTAATCTTGACACATATACTAGTAACACGAATTAAATATCAACTGCAGCAGCTCACGAAATTCCTGATGGTTAGTCACACGGTTGTATCAGAATTTTATTTTCATAAATCACCAAATAAAATCATTGGTTGATGTAACTATTAAGACCGAATCAATAATCATTCAGTAAATATTGATTAGTTGATCGACCATCAATTGATAAGGTATTCTGGAAGATGAAAACAGCTTCTTCAATTCTGAAATGAACATACTAACTTTTCTTCTAGATTGAGCTAGCACAGAAGTGCTTGGAAATTGGAGGGAGTATTCTTAGCTCGGGGTGAGTTGTTCTCTGAGCTGAGGTTTTATGCTGCAAACGTTTCAGTGTAATACTAGTGATCATCATCAATGCACTGGAGCTTCATAAGGTGCTTTACTTAAAATAGTAGCATAATTATCTCGTAGGAATTCACTTCGACTATATTACTTCGTCACTCCAGTTGTTCCTTCACCCGCTAATTTCAATTTCATATAATCAAACTTCTCTTCCACTGCTAATGGGTCTTTTTTCAAAAAATGGAATTCAGTTGATGTACTGTCTTAAATCTGTAAGGTTTACAGCTGTTTGTTGTTATTCTCTGGAAGTTATCACCTTTTTCAGAGAGTCATGTTCACAGAAAGTATCATTGATTTCAAAAATAGAGAAACATCTAATGATTACATAATTTATCAGCTTGTTATCTTCATCTTGTCCAAATCTTTGTCTTCTTTAGTTTCTTCTTAGCCGTTCAATGTTCAACTGTCAATGAATACCTTAAAAATAAATTTGTTCTCATGTGTTCAATTTTCAATTTTCAGAAACGGTTAAAAGAACAATTAGATGAATTGTTAAAAAGTAAAGAAATGTTAGAAAATGAATGTAATTCACTTCGTCTTGAACTAACGAGTTTAAAACAAAAACTTAAATTTAGTGAACCAAGTGTTGACAATGGAAAGGTTTCTAATCTTCGTGAACAAGCTCTTATAGCTGAGGTGAGTTGTACTAATCCTTCTTTATAATACTGATGAGTAAAACATTAATCAATGAACATCTTTGTTGTCCAACACATTGCAGGTGTACCAATCAAGTAAAAAAAATTTCTTCCAATAGGAATAAAAGGGAATGCATAAAACATTTAAATTCACTAGGTTTCAATCAATTCGTTGTAGGCGAAAAGTTATCTAGATTTAGGATGACAAACCGTAACTATATTGACTAACAGAAGGAAATGTTTGTTTATCCTAAGATTGAGTATTACAGCAATACATTAAGACCAAGGCCAGGTGACAGTCGGTACTTGACCTTCAGCGATTGAGAAAATGGATTTCAAAATCTACTTAGGAATCTTTCGCACATCTGTGTAGTCAGCAATGAGCGGTATCTGTTATGTGAGTTTTAATGATACCACCTCACTGATCAAACCTCAACCGGTGAAACTTGGTTCAAACCCTTGACTTATCGATTGAAAATCAAGTGCGTAGACCATTAAAGCTGCAACGCCATGGATACAGATGTGCCTGAAGGTTGTATATTAGTAAGTAATCATGTGATCATTTATTTACAAAACATTAATCATGACATACATCCTTAATATTTCGCTAGTCTTATTTTCCCTAACTATTTACATTTAAAAAAATTATGTTCATATAACTTGTAAGTTCTATAGAAAGTAGTTTAATACTTCATATCACTCAAGGTTGTCCTATTGAAGCTGCAATTTTTTTCGCAGAAGGATTGTGAACAGTGTCTACTGATGGTTATAAAATTTATTTATTAAATATATTAAATAGAATATTTGACTTAGATTTAGATACTTAGATGGGAATGATGAGAATAAGACTGGGAACACAGTACGGTTCCAATCAGTGACCTTTAAGTTATTGGTCTAATGTCCAATCAGCTGATCTACGACACCATACTACTAACTAGGTTTCAATTTCTCTGGAATCAACAACGTTTCCACTTGTGGACAGTATGTGAATACATTTTACGTATTAAAGGTGTTTAAGCGGGTTCTGTTACTCCTGTTGTTTTCAGAAACACCTTAAACTCTTAAAAGTTTCAGAATACAGAGTATGAAAAAGAAAAAAGAAAAAGAATTTAGAAAGTGAACTGGTCCACGTATTTATTCTATAAATGTTTATATCTTCTCTTAGTATAACCACCCGTAGGCATCAAATACCTTAAATAGTAAAGAATAGCGTTCATTCGTCCAGTGTCTCTCTCATGTATACACAAATACTGACTTCTCATAAGAAGTTAAAATGCGTGATAGGGAATCCTGCAAAAAACAGTACGGATTCACGTCCCGTAAAAAAGGTAGTCTAGCGCTTCAAGTCTTTCTGATCACCGGAAAAGTGTTCAGTACTCTGAAATTACTGTTAGTTCCTTTGAATTGAGATCGAGACGATTAAGTTACCCAGTGAAGTTTTTGAGTTAGATAATGCATCCTACTCAGCATTTGCTAACCAAGGAAACGTTATTGCCCAGCTGTTTTTGGACTACAACTTTCCTCCAGCTGATATCATACCATAAAGAGAATTACTCACGAATGGTTGCTTCATAGTCAACCTGTGTTGTAGCAGCTAGTATATAGGAGGATTGTTTACTCATGATTTAACAGTAATTGAATATATCGGGAACTCCAATGAAAATACCAATGTGGTTTCGTTTTGGTTGTATTATGTTACGATGATATAAAAGATTGAAAATTGGCAAATTTTCGGGTATATTTCTGTTCAATTTTCATTTCTCTTGTTATAATTCTTGGAAAGTAAAAATGAAAGCTTAAGTTGGATTTAAGAATTTAACCTCTAAAGAGTAGAAGCTTCAAATCTAAAATGTATATAAATTAGTTACAAATTCATAATGAATACAGCTGATCGGAGTCTCTGAGGTTAGCGATTAGACTATCAAACTGTGTAACTCAACACTTTGATGTATTCTGTTTGACACTTAATATTTGGAGTCAGTCATTTGGAAACTGGTTGAGATTCATCTGTAATGCTTTTTTATTGGACTTGAAGAAGCCTTACGACACACGGACTTCAGGTAAATATTTGTCCGAATAAGCTTATCGATTTGAGCGTTTAGTTCAGCATGAAAAAGGTTATTCCTGGCTTGAGCAGCTGAGTATTAGAGTCTCCAACTTCAGTTTCTGTTGGAATATGAACTCTTCAAGTTCTTGGTGAGTAACAATAAGCGTCAGATAAACATGCATTCCTGTCAACTGATACTAACTGTAAAGAGTATCAAGAGTTGCTAAGTATGAATCGACTAATCACTGGAGGATGGTTGAATACCGCATTGTTTATTTCTAACCACTTATTAAACTTGGTCGATCAGATTTGAAGCTTGATGATGGGTATGTAGTATGAGCTTTGTTTATTATCATTTTGTTGGAATCGACTAGATGAAAACACGCGATCAGATGAGTGCCAGCAAAGATCAAACGTGAGTTAAGCAGCGCCTCTTGTCCATCGTTTGCAAACTTAACTTAATCAAGCTTTTTCTTCAACTATCCAATCAACATGTCCTCTAAAACAGCCAATCAAAATGTCAGTACCTTTTATTATACTGAACAAGTGAATGATATGGATTTGTTGTTTTTAAACGTGTAGTAAAATGAATGTTTAAGTTTTACAAGAAGACTAATTTCTTTCTTTTAGATTGTTCGTTTACGTCGTGACCTGAATCGTTTACAAGAAGCTTCAGAATCACGGATAAAATGCTTGAAAAATAGATTACAAGCTTTTACTGAAGAGTCATTTACACGACGAACATTAGAAATGAAGGTGTCACAGTTGCATACTGCTGCACTGAAATATGCAGATCAACTTGCTGAATTTACAGCAATGAATAAACCAATCGGATGTGATGAAGTAAGCAGTAGTTATGTCTTTACACTCTTGCTATTATTGGATACTTCTGTTTACTTTCTTAGTGTTTCTTTTTCGTAATACGTCTTCAGCACAGTGAGAAGATAGATGGATTAGGCAGACACTGACACAATAATTATGGTAAATGCCTGTGAGAAACTGAATAGCACTGAGCTTAATTAAGGTGGAACATTCAACTCGGCATGTATCCATTTCGATACGAAGTTATGTACTAGCCAATAAACCACAATTAGTGCGTGAATGCCTATGATACTAATTGGTCGCACAGACGGAGGCACACGGTATAGAATACTAAGCTAGAACTCAACCTCGCGAATTGGTCATATATTGATGACAGATATTGTGTGGGATAGCAAATGTCAAACGAGCCTTATACATCCACTCTGAGGTTTTGTTAGCAGCTAACACCGTTGGAAATGATCAAACCCCTAAAACTATTCAACTGCTCAAGGAAGTTCACTATTTCATTGTCTATCCTACAAATGACAGTCGGTGAAGACTTATCTTGTAGGATCTCACCAAACATCTGATGGCTGCAGTGAATGTACTGCATCATAAACTTACTGAAGTTATGTATATGCACTACCGAATTCTGTCTTATAAACTGGATGGTAACGTGAACACAGATAGACGTGAAGATTCTAATCTCCATTTAATATTGTAGTAGAGGTTGCACGATTTTGAGATATGCCTACAATTACAGTGAAATGACTGACTAGTGCCATCTGAATTTCGCAGATATCAATCCATGCTGAAGACATGTATAGAAATCAATCAGCGTTCATCGAAACGCTCGACAGAAATCACAATAAGAGATTATGAAATCATTTCGCTAAATGAAGTGAATACAAATTATCTCCAGATTGTATACCTTTAGTACACACTCTTCACGTATGACCAATTTGTTGACCTCCCGATAGTGGTATCCAGAGAGTTTCTTCGGAAAATCATTCGATAAAGAACTCAGATTATGATCTCTAAAAGAAACGTGAAGTACACCTGTAAATTATCTCGACAGACGAGATCTTCTTTTGTAAGTGCTCAGGTTTTGTTAGTCAAGCTGAAATGATCTTAACCCTTATGAACTTATTTCACTTTTACAGAGACCAGACTGGAAGCATTGTAAACCAGAGTATTTAAATCACAGAGATAGCAAAATTCACAGATCATCAAGTATGGTTACGTGCTATTCATACACTAATCCCTGAAGTAATACCAATACTATTGCCACTACTACTACTACTACCACCAGTAGTAGTAGTAGTGTATTCATATCAAAGTCCACATTTTGTGCTGTTGACTGACTACCTTTTAGCTGGAAACCCGTTACAGATAAAGTTAACCAGTTAAATAAGATGTCAGCTATGAAATATTTTGTTCTTCAATGTTCACTTTGCCATAAGACATTCGAAGTCAATCGATAGGGAATTCTGAACTTGGATTTTGTACTTCTTTACCTTCATCGGTTGCACCTAAATACAACCCTGAGGAAATCGATTTCCCACCAGTAATTCAAGCCTGCGTCATTCCGTGTTCAGATCAAACACACTACTACTAAGCTATCCAAATCATAACTGGGCGCACGTAGGACTGAATCACGCACACGAATTGTTCACCAACGGATAACTAAAGTAGTTGTCTATTAGCATGAGTGTCTAGCCTTGACCGGGTCTATCAGTCAAGTATTCAGTGTAACCACTAGGCTAAACGATGATATACTTTACTTCACTAAATTTTAGTGTTAGTAATTTGCTAATCCATCTAACCTAAGTCATATTAACCTGCTTCACAGTCCATTTTATACATTTCTTTATTTTGTTTATTCTATAATTTTGACGTAAATCATGATAAAGTTATTTAACTTTATGGGTTAGACTCAGTCTGAACACTAGACATCCAGTCAATGGATTGCTTATTTAGAACTCTTTCGCTTATTCTGCCTTAGATATTTTCTTAGCATACTGTTTTATTTGACCGAAAAATGCTAATTTATTGAATATTTATATGAATCAGGATCTTCACTTCACCGAACACCTTCATAAGTATTTGGACATTGAGTAGAAATTTGATATTAACTATAAGTTGGATTTGCATAAATATCAGTATCTTGAGAATCAAAATTTTTCACAGGCAGATTTGTTTCTATCTTCGTCGGCAAAATAATCAAGAGTGAAGTGTTGAAGATATGCAAAATAGGTCGAAACTGTACAGTTAACTTCACCTAGTCATCTTTATATATATATATATATATATATATATATATATATATATATATATATATATATATATATATATATATATATATATATAAAATACACGTGCGTTTTCATTGAAATCCTTCATTACCGAAAATATAAGACAAAGTGTAAAATCTTTAGATTGTATTCTCTCACTCTTGGCTTCGTATACAACATATATGAGATCGAGTTACCATGCCTTCCCCTCCTTTTATCTCTTAGTTGAAAACTTTGAATGTTTACTGTGAGTGTTACAGTGGTAATCCTCTTCGGTGTATATCGTTAAGCGGTTGAAAGATAGCTGATCCCCGTTGCGTACCAGGTTGTCTTCCTACACCAGTCATCATCTTCCTGCATATCCTTTTCATTTTCTTCCCATAACCATATCAGTTGTCAATCTCCAAAGGTGATGGAGGTTCATGTATTGTATCAAGGTGAAGTTAAGATAGAAATGTTACTCGTATTGTTTATTCCCTGAAATTATCATAAGTGTACCTAAAGTAAATTGGCTTGAACATCTGAATCAATATTACATGTCTAGTTTTCAAGAGGTATGTTACTTGTAATTCAAATTTTTCAAGGTAACTGATTCTCTGATCATTTATTAGTTAAATAAACCCCTATCTTGCTGACATTTTTTCTTCCTTTTTCAGACTCCTAAAGATAATGGAGTGTTCCTTTTGCCCCTACCGCCTCCACCACTTTCATTTCCAGCCAAACTTTCTCATCACAATACTATGGAACTAGGAAGCTCACTAAGAACAACCTTACCACCAATTGTACGTACTGATTAATGGATAGCATCTTCATCCTAGGATTTTTTGAAATACACTTTATACTACGTCACAGTAACATAAATTTACAGACTCAATTCTGCATTGTTTTGTTGCTCCAGCAATACCCTAAATATTTTGATTATCGGAACCGATGGTGGTGGTGTCTGATGTACAAACTAAAGTTGTTTCATCATATTTACAGAAACAAAAATAAACATTTGTTTCGAAGACCTTCAAAACTTATAATTTTGAAGAGTTAACCCAAAGGTGTACAAATTTATTTCTGTCTACGTTTATTCTGCATCCCTTCCGGATAAACAGCTTCAGAGATAACAGTCTTACCTTATCTTGTGAAGCTTTTCTGAAGATTATATTTAGGATGACCTTGAAGTGAAAACTTGTCAAAAACTATGTTCTTAGATTAGCTACTACTAGATATTTCGTAAAATAAGGTAGATGGCTTAGTTAGATAAGGTAACACCTTTCATTTTAATAAAGATACAACAGAACGTATGTCGGCGTCTAAAGTGACTGAATGACACAAGATTCCTAGTTTAGTTCTGAAAGTGATAAGTTAAAGAATGAGAGGAACCACTGATGCATATTGCACAACCATAGACAACTAACAAACTGAGTAATTCAGCTGTATCACAACTATTCATAGAGCGAAACAAAGACTGAGTATTTAAGATTTATATTTTCGGCAAAAAGATTCGATTACCAGAAGGCAGTAATTAATGATAGCTATCCGATACGTTCAATAAGTATTTATCTCTGTGGAGAATAAATGTGTCCTCTTTCTCATTAGTCAGTAACGAAGTAATTAGAACATTATCCAATGAGATAAATACCCCTTTAGCGGTGTGTGTATTTAGCCTACGTTACACACAGGAACCAGTGAAACAAAACTTAGTTTCATTTTGAATGTCTTCAAGAACAATTCTGAAACTCACTAATGACAACCTGAAACGCCTGGATTCTAAGTGAGTTTCTACGGTCACCTTATTTCCATTAAAAGAGTATGCTTTAATACATCCCCAGACTTAGCTCTCAACTTCTTCCAGGATATTGGTAACAATTATGGTCCGGATGTTTATGACCTTATGCACACCCTTATTCACCAGCAAAAAACCTGATTATTTGGCTTCATCAACTAGTAGTCAGTTAGTGTTATTCCAAAGTTGAAATGAATTTCATCCTAGAATATTAATTTCTGAATTCACAAGTTAACATAACTACTCAGAGGAAATTCGAAATGTAAGTATTCATACCTTGCATGAACAGAGCTTTTGAGTCGTGTTTAAGTGATATCACTAAACTGCTTTCCACCATGATTCTATGTGCTCACAGTAGTTTACATCCATCCACTGATTTCCTTTTTAATCTATCTCCCTTTCTTCCAACATAATATTAGCTAGTTAACTAGTCACTAACACAAAGCACTTAACTGCTGTTTCACTATCGTTTACGATCCTTCATCAGAGAAACTAAATAGTGCTATGTTTTCAATCTCTGTTAGCTTATCATGTAGCACAGTAGTCATCTAGCGTCATTGAAGAGTATTTGTATTCAAGCATAACTTGTTGGCTTGATAGATCATAATTTCTCAATAAAACTTCGTGTAAATCATTTCAAAGTCAGCTTTCAATCAGCACTAGAATTTTATTCAACTGTCTGGTTTTTTAGGAATAGACCGATTTCAGAGCGGCTCCGAGTCATTGATCGATAAACAGCTTACAAATAAAAAGGACCATAGAGCTGTAAATGGCGAGTCAGCCTAGTCTGAAATTCCCTAACAAGGGGCTCCAAATGCTCTTCTTGGGACCTAACCCAGAAATCGATGGTTTTCTGCCTCTTGTCATCTCATACTGGTGCAATAAGTTGACGAGTTATGCGACTATACAAACCTTAAAACCAAGTGAATTAGGTTTTCTGACTTACTGGTCACTTTTATTGGCCCTGTACTCTTACATTTAATGGAGCTTGCCTTAACTGATGGGATGAACTGAATTCTAACTGCTAATCAGAATCCGAAGGCTTTTAAAGCAACCTGTACCTAGAACTCTCATCCAGTTTGTGTTTTCGTTTCAATATTATTTATTTACAGGATCCTTTTCTAGCAAAACTGGGAGCAGTCGTTTGAAAATTACTAGTTACAATGCATTTGCAGCAACCAACTCTTTGATATTTCCACATGAAAATAAAGTGACCTTATTCAGTTCGTGTTTGAAACTGGAGTGGTTGAGTGCTTACAGTTCGTTCAACAATTATACCGTTCAGTTTCGGATGTTTGAATTCAATGTTCAAGACACTGTAGATATAGGTTTTGTGCTTGCTGATACTGAAAGGTATCTTCGATCAAAACACCCAAAGCCTCCAGGAAACCAAAATATGCACTTTTTAGTGCTTAAGATAAGGGTTTTACGACTGAACTAGTCAATTCATAACTCTGTGTAGGACTGGTTTGTTTGCATAAAGCGTTAACTAGATATTAACCAATATTCGACGGAATACTTCATCCCGTCAACCGACTACTTTCCGAAATTCACAGTCACGTTACTGATGAAGGTAAATAAGTTTAAAAATCTCATTTCGGAGCTTTTTAGTAACTGACTATAAATGTACAGCTTATCATTTAATTTCGCAATCATACCACACAATCAATCGATAGACATTGCCAGTATTTAGTACTTCAGAACACTGTTCACCATGTGATGATCAATTCAACGATGAACCGTTTAGATGACTAACGTGAGCATGTATGAATTCATTGTTTGCAAAGAGAACGAACTTCTCGCTTACAGCAATGAAATCTAAAATCGACAAATGTTTACATCAGTGATCCTTCATAGTCAAAGATAGAATCCCACAATTATCAGTGAACAAGTGGTATCATTGACTGAAATGTAAGTCTTCGAGGCTAAATTTTTAAGTCAGGAATTGATATAAGCTACATTCTCAGATAACCTATCGTCCAAAGGAAAATTGAACATTACATCTTAAACAAAATGAAACATCCTGAAATCTGTACGCCAGATCTAAGGATAAAGCTCTTCTTGCATACCAGTCATGATCTAACCACTGAAGAACAAGAAATTTGTCCCTTTGCTTTTTGATGGAAAATAATAAACTGTAAGTTTGACTTGAATTAACTTTCATGACGAATATATTGCAAAAGCAGGAAATAGAATATGAGTTTATGATTCTAGAACTTACTTAAGGCCAGACGCTAAACAAAAGAACACACGGTTATTATGCAATATTGAGTTTACAATTAGTTAACAAGGTTCAAGAGTAAATTTTTCCACCTAATAGTTTCAATTAGAAACAAAGGCTTCATGAGAAGAGGGAAGAAAAGAAAGCACTAAAAATAGGAATAAAAATTTAAACGTTGCCAAGAATATAAAGAATAGATACATTTCAGCATTCTGACTCATTTCAAGTCTCGTTATATACAATATCCTATCACTGATTTCTAACATTTCAAGGACCTCAGTCAGTCAAACAGCTCTTCTCTACTTAGATAAGAGCATGCGACAACAGTAACCCCATAAGTCTCAGTTTAAGAGGTAAGTTTTTCAAAATGGCTGCTCTCTCACATATAACTCGAAAGAACCACATTCCATTGGAACATAGTGTAAGAAAGTAGTCAACAAAGAGCACATCTCACTGTAATTATACTTTTGAAATTGTACTACTTCCAAGTAGTTCATATTTATCATAAAATTACCGACTTTTGATTTGCTTACAATCTTAAAGGGATAAACATTTAAATAACGAACTTTTCTGGTTATTACAACATTTTCGTCAGCAAAAACCATCTTCAACTTTTCTGTCTGGAAGCGGATTCTTAAGAGTGGGAATAAGTCCAGTTAAAAGTGGCGAAATGATTAACTTGTAAACTTGAGAAGTGAAAATCAGCTCTTTATGTGGTTAATGGTTCTTGATAGAATTCCAACTATGATCTAGGATGAATCGAGTACAGACTACATACTTATTATTCAATAAATGGACTAGATATTCACCTTGCTACAAGTTGGCTGCAGTATCTCAATACTCCAAGCACCTAGATTAAATCCACTCTTCATAATTTAGGCTTCTGCATGGAGTGAGTTTTTACCTCTGTAAAATAATGCAGTTTACTGAGTGATTTTCTGTTGCTCGTCAGATATAGTTCAGGAAAAGGATGGGCAACTTATTCTTAGTTAAAAATTAACAACTTTTCCCAGACCAGTGTCGAAAGTATCATAAGCTTTTAGTTAATAACGAATCATTCGTACAGAGAAAAAACTTGATTTACACTAAAGTAATTATTCCTACTGAAGAAATATAACCAGCTGCAGCTCACTGTTAAATAAATGATGGGTTGAAAAACATACTACTGGTTCAAAATATAAGTAGGATGAATAAGGCCCAAACAAAAATAAGACGGTCTATGCACTACTTCCTGGCTAGGGACTCAAATCAAGTGATGTATGCAGAAGTATTCATGTTATACAACTGATGCATTCCAGAAAGCTTGATTATGGTAGACTAATTTGGTAAATTGTTTCGTTTAAGACTCCGATTAATCTCAATGGTCCCAAAATTGTCTGAAACTTTGAAGCTGCTACTGATGTCAAATGTACCATGGTTTATAGTTTGAAAATTTTATATTTCGCTCACATATGTGATTGATTTTATTAAATGGGCCCAGCTCACTTATATCATTGTAATTGTATCATTCGAACCTAGAACCTATTCTGTTATGTGGAAAAAATACCAGCAGTATTGGTCGACTGAAATGGCTTCCACATGTCCTGCGCATGCTGAGCCACTGCCTAGCTTGAAGTGCCATGCTACCAGAAGCTGGACTTGGTTAGAAGAAGACCTAGGGTGACTGGATATTCATCACTGGATGAAGTCTCCTACTGTTGGTCCGAGTCGTGTGGAGAGATGTAGACTGCCTGGTTAGGGTCCCTGAGATGAGAAGAATCAGCGGTTGGGGACTCTTAGTGACGTAGCTTGAAATCGATTACAATAGTGCAGATGTATTCACTACTTGACATCCTGTAAAACCTAAATATTTCCACTTATCGTCATCTTCAGGCTGTTTATTTCCACGTACTACTTCGTCTACTTCGATATCACTCTTTCTTTATCTACCTATTCTTTGTGTACTACAGTGAAGTATGGCAACCTGAGTCAATACATCTATGTGCGAAGTTCTATTTTCGTTTTGTCTGTCGGTGTTTTCAGTCAGTATTCTCAGACATTTTTGCACTCTCTGTTTCAGTGTCAGATACT